CAATGGATAGTAAAGACAATTTTTTTTTTTTGTGAACAAAGAAAACATCATGGGCAGTGAGATGGGTGAAAAACATAAGGTCTCGAGCGTTTTTTTAAAAATAGAAATTATTTGAACTTGAGCGCAGTGTTTTTAGAACACCATGTCATGCGCGAGTTTTACAACATTTGTGTGTTGTAAACAGACAGACTCGTGGTTTATCAGGACATGATTTATTTTTACAATAAACAAACTGACACCTACAGTGGCCAGCTAAACAAATGTATTTAAACACACACACCATACATCGCATGCTCCATAGATACATTAACTGTATGTGATCATGTTGTTTACTTGCTGTGCTTACACGCCGATAGTTAACAACTCACAGACATTTGAAGCAGTTTTACTCACCGCCTGCGGTTCCAACGCACGACCGTGAACCTTTATCGTTGGGACTGCTCCATCTAAAGATGAGATTTGAGACTTTTCCACTCAAGAAGTATTAGGCGATCTGCAAATCCGGCGTTGAACTGGGCCTTGTTTATAAAACTATTACCGTCGAAATAAAGGGAACAAACAAAAACACTTGCACAACTCCGTTGCTGCTCTGGAAAAACAAAATCCATCCACAGGTCCCTTAACGCTGGGTTCTTTGGAAATTTGTGCAGTGTTGTCTTGCCCTGGCAACCAAAAACACACTTTTTTGGTGCCATTTTTTTAATTGCAGCGCAGCCGACCGAGCCCAGCGCTCTGATGGGCATAGGCGTACTCTCGCACGCACTCGGCTACAGATGCGCGCGCGCCCTTCCGGGAGAAGTGCCCTTAAGACCCATGTAAGGAAATTCCGGCCACTCTGACGTCACACACGCCCGTATTCGAAAAAAACTTTCCGAAACTTGTGACAACCCGGAAGGAGTATTTTTGGAACAGAATTACTCCATCAAACTTACAACTTCATTTTTGAAACTTTGTCCATGTTTAGCATGGGAATCCAACTCTTTAACAGTGTAAAAAACTAACTATGCATGAAACAGCATTTCACCCCCCCTTTAATGTTTTAATTAAGGTTTTGTTCACCCATTAAGTCATGAATGAAAAACGTTGAACTCATGTTAGTTCCTGACGATTCATGAGATATTAATGCATGAATTAATGCCTAATTCATTCATGAACTTGTACATGAATTCATGTACCCTTACCGTAAAGTGTTACCGCGTCATTTAATGGTGGACCTGATGACATAGCTCTCAGCTAACAATTTGATTTTAAATGTAATGTAGGCTGTGCGATTCATAAGTTGCATAGGATACACGCACATGATTTCAACTTCTGCAAGGTGTATCTGTTTCATAAATTGATGTTTTTTAACTAGTGGTGGGAATCTTTAGGCACTTCACGATCCAATTCAAAACCATTCTTGATCTACTTTTTTTTTTTTTTTCGTAGTTTACCAACTTTACATCTTACATTTATTTGTACTTTTTTTATTTTTATTTAATTACTTGTTCTTACATGACATAAAATTGATTTTAACTTATAAGAACTTTCAAAGGTAGTTTCAGAACATGCAAGCAGAGTAAATAATAAAGAGGAACGAAGAAACCTATTACTAGCAATAAACAGTGTGCTCCGTATCTAAGAGTGGTTTCGGTATCTGAACATTTTCCAGCCAAGAGCAGTGAGCGGTTTTTCTCTTTCTCAGCTTTGCTGCTGCTGAATTATTACTGATGCCAACATCTCTATTTTGACACATCAGATGTTTGTCCTGACTGTCTAATCCCTTAAGACATAACTGACTGTTTACATTAATTTTGCATCATAAATGCATTTTGAGATGCAACCACTTACACAGAGTCGCACAGCTGCATCCCTATTTTAAACTAATTATAATAAATTGTTGTACACTATAAAATGGCTGTAAATTAAAATATTGTTACTTTATTTTTATTTTTTTGTTATATAGTGACCCAAATTATTTGATGGAAGTATTACAGTGCTTTAACTGTTTTTGTGCCTGAATTACTAAAATATATAAACAATTTACAGACTGGAATGTATGCATCATTGATGTCAAAATCTGGTGTAATATATCATTTTATAATTTTGTAATTATTAAAATATCAGGGCAGTTTAGAGATCTTATTCAGGTCTTCAGCAAAACAGAAGGCATATTTATGTAAAAATGGTGGTTGATTAAATTATTTTTATTTCCATTTTCTGACAGTTAAATGACACTGAAATATTGACTAAATTTAAAGGACTTAAAAATAAATAGTGTAGACAATGTAGAAAGAAGAAAAATGTAAATGAACAATGGTCACTATTTAGCAGATCGCAGTCCTGATTTAGACCCAAGTTCGGTTTCACCTAGACCAGTCATTATAAAATAAATTAATATGTTTTTTTTATTTTAGTTCAAGTTTGCAATAGTCATGATGGGCCGGCATCAGTATATCAACGAGGAAGACTACGAGGTGAATCTGAAAGACTTTGAGCCACAGCCAGGTATGTCACCCTTTTTTCCTCGAATCAAAATGCGTGTGCCATGGATAGATAAAATGGATTAGCCTTTGCTTGGACAATAATAAAATGATTTTAACTAAACCATATAGTTGAAAAGAATACAAGAAAACCAAAAGTGCTAGTTATTAATAATACATCAATATTTTTGAAAAAGAAACTGCTCAAATTAATATTACCATTTTAAATAACAGCACTGCTGTTTGGGCTGCGTGCACTGAAACAATAGATGCTTACCGATAAACTGACGTGCTTTATTACTTAAACTTTACAGACGCATCCTAAATGGGATAAATCAGAGATATACAGGACATAAACATATATTACAAATTACAATTGCACAGAACAAAAGGTTTTGAATAACTTGACTGGGATAGTCTTGGTGTAACTGTTATTTATGCTCTAAAACACAACTGCACAAAGAATTCACATTCTTTTATAGTCATGTTCTCATTATATTTTTATGTAGCCTGTATGACAGACTTGGGTTGCACTTAACTGTATTTTCCTTCTCAAAGTGATTCCAATCATATTTCAAGCATTTCAAAACCATCAGTGCGCATCTGAAGTGTCTCAGCTGAAGGAAATAATCCACCATTTATCGGCTTTAATGTATCTGCCAAAATTTCTTATCAGGCCAATAACGATAACATTAAACATTGAACGCATATCGGCCGGTACCGATATGGTAGCCGATATATCGTGCATTCCTAAACCTTATCATGTTCTGTACTTCATCAGGGAACATGTCACACCCGAGGCCTTGGTTAGGGCTCGACCACTTCAACAAAGCTCCAAAGAGAGGTCGCTACACGTACCTGGAAAAAGCGATCAAGATTCACAACTGACAAGCCCCCACTAACCAACGATACTAAAGACTTTAACCAAACCTCTTGTGTGCACCACTTTTAACACCTGCTGTCTGGGTACACAGGCACCATGTATGAAGTCTTCAGCGAATGGAGTGACTGCTGATGCTCCTGTTTTTCTTTTGAGGCTGTTCTATTTGGCTTCTCTAACTATTGACTGCCTATTTGTCTGGAAGAATGAATTGGATTTTAACAAGAAAGGGGGAACCGTATGTCCTAGAATTTTGTTTTGATTTTGATTTTTCGTTGTTGTTTTTTTTTTTTTTTTTAAGTTCGTTTTTAAAAGAATTGTTATGGCAAGAAAGCTGCTGCATTGTGAGGTGGAGGCAATGGAAAGAGAAGTTGTCATTTGCAGAAGATGAAAAGGATACCTCCATCCTTCAACAAAAAAAAAATCCCCGCAAATGGCTGATGCTTTTGCTAGTTGCCCTGACATGTTTGTCTCATTTTCTGGTTCCTTAGTGCAACTAGTCAATTTTCATGTTTACACAATTCTTCTTTCTCACTTAGTTTGGTTGGAGAAATTCAGATTGTCGTCTTTGGAAATCCTGTATAATAAAGTAAAGACCCACAGCATCTGTTTTAAAATAAATAAAAATGAAATAAATTGTCTGTACTTCATCTTGCACGTTGGCACTTAATAATCCAAGGTTTTACATTTTTCAGCACTGTTAAATGTAATCTTTGGTTGGAGTTTGATTTGCATATCCCTTTGGGTTTCTCCCTCTCTTTTTTTCCCCCTTCTCCCCATTAGCGCCCCCCCCCCCCCCTCTTTAGCTCCTCTGTCACTGGCTGTGGGATTATTCTGATGGGGAGGGAGGGGTCGCTTGCTGACGGCTCCAGATTCGTTGTACTGTTTGTTGGCACGAGGCTGCAGACGCATAGTAGACTGGTTTGGGACATAGAGAAACCAGCATTAATGAATCAATACAAACTTTTTTCTTTTCTTTAAGCACAGAAGGAATGCTCCCTAGTGCATAGTTGGCTTTGTAAAAACAATTGAAATTGTATATTTAAAGAATGAACGTGTAAAATTAAAAACAGATTTGTTGGGTACAGATCAATTCAGATGTTCATATTCATTGTGTGTAGGTTTATTTTGGATCCTGACAGGTTCATTTTGGATTTTTTTTCCCCTAACTAATTGCAACAGTTTGTCTCGTTTAAGTGCAGTACAAAGATGACCTGCAGATCACATCTTTCTTTTTTGATGATTTTTTCTCTCTCCGGTCTAATTCCTCCGTGTAGCAGCAGTGTACGACAACTCTTCCTGTATATTGCCTTTTTGCTGGAAAATGTATGTTGAATAAAATTTTCTATAAAAGCTACAGCCATGGTCCGTGGAGAATTGACTCGAGATGGTGTTCAGATTGTAATGCTGTGCTTGTGTCATGTAATCTGAAGAAAAACACAATACAGGTCCTCATTAAGGTATTGCACGGGCATGTTTCAGTTTTATTATGACAGTTCCATTTAGATGCACATATGACATTTGACGTTGTGAAGATTCAGAGGCTTTTTACAGAAGTGATACATGGCTAAACAGTGACCCAAAGACAAAGTGAACTTTTATTTAACAAACAGCACAACCCTATTATAAGGCCCCATGACTTTTCCAGTTTTTTTTTTTTTTACACCATTTGTACCCTATACAATTTTTTAGAGCTTGACAAAAGCATGTAAATATTTTAGAGCTTTTCTAATAGTTTAATTAATTTACATGACTTTTCCAGCTGTAGAAATCACTTTTAAAAAGGAGTCCATCTCATATACCCACTTTTTATTAGACCGTGTGAACTGGTTCTTCCAATGAAAAAAGAAGTATATTAAAATAAGAAATGTCTTTAGATGTTTTAATGCTTGTATTGGTTCAAATCAATTTAAGTCATTTTGAGGCCCCTTTGAAGTTTGCTGAGGGCCTCTAGCTTGAAAACCACCATTCTATATGGTGCCGTTGATGGCAAAATGGGTGATATTTACATTATGTGATTCAGTAAATGTAGTTATGCAAATCAAATTCTGTGAACACCTCAAACTTGTGAACCCTTAACCCTGAGTCCTTTATAGATGTACAATCAAAACCATGAGTATTCATTTTTGAATGTAATAATACAGACTAAACCAGATGAACACCAAAAGGTTCTTAGTTACAAACATTGCGAAGCACAAGTTCATATGGGCAAGTTTGTACAAGACGACATCTGTGTTGGTCTGAAAGTGTCCTTCATATAGTGTAAGGTGCAACACAAATCCATGAGCAGTGTTAAAATCTGGGAGGGGATGATGGGACCGGGTTAGCAGCATCGCTTCCTTTCAATGTGCAGGATCTTAGTGCAGCTTGGGCATGTATGATAGACATCTTTGAAATGGTTGGCGAAAAGTGGAATCAGACAGCAGAATAAAACCAACCTGGAAGAGAGGAAGACAGTCACAGTTTATTGGTGCACACAAGATTTGATGTTTTCATCTGCAAATTCAAATGGACTCTTACCCGCACAGGATGAAGAGTACGAATGACCCCCAGGCGAAAACTCCCACTTTGTAGTCGATTTCGGTTAAGACCTGCTTATTGCAGTGCGTGCAGGTGGCCATTCCTGGCTTGCGGCCCAGCTCATATGAATCATAGCTGACGAATTTGTTTTTGCCTTCATTTGACTGGGACTGAACTACAGGAGAAGCATGTGTTTAGTAAGTATTGTCTTTATTATTATTATTTATTTATCTTGTCTTTATTTACCATTATACAACAGTAAGTTCAGGTCCAATAATTTAATATCTATATTTAGTGCAGCTTTGGGATTTGACCGTTTTTCCTTCCTAGACAGGAACCAGTCGCAAAGTCTTGTGAGTGATGAGTTTGTTTGATTCATGAATAACAGGAACATGTATGGAAGTACATTTCCAAATTTGAAAAAAATATATAATTCCCAATTCTGAGTTTATATCTTGCAATTCTGACTTTATCGTAGAATTTCGAGTTTATAAAATAAAATTGTATGTATATTTCTAAGTTAACCTCAATTGTTAGTTTTCTCAGACAGATCCTTTTTTATCACACGATTAGGTGGCTCTTAAAAACATTAACTAAGAATTATAAGGGGAAAAAACTCTTGCATGATTTAAACTCATAATTCATCCCCCTGCAGAAGAAGAAGAAAAAAACAGCTAAAATCAGCCTAAGCTGGTTAACTGGTTGTAGCTGGTCTTCCAGCCTGGTTTTCGAGGGGTTATAACCACTTCTTCTGCTGGTCAGGCTAAAATTAGCTGAAAACCAGCATGGCCAAGGAGAACAGCTTTTTTTAGCAGGGAGAAAAAAGTAAAAATTGCAAGATATAAACTCACATTTTGGAATTGCAAAAAACAGTCAGAATTGTGTGTTGTAAACTCACAATTCTGAGAAAGTCTGAATTGTGAGATAAAATACATTGTATATAGATTTCTATTTTTTTTATTCAATAATGGAAAGGGGCTTATTAATAATGTTAGTTATATATTAGTAATTAAATGTATATACACAATATAAGGACACTAATAATGGTCCAATCCAGTAAAATCCTGGCATTATCAAAACATGGGCAGTTCTTTCTGTGTGGCCATTACAGCTAACAGTTTCCCACCGATAATTAACAGGTAACAGACTGACCGGATGTGGATGATTTCTCTTGGATTCCAGAATCTCCAATAGTGGAGCTTTGTGGGCTGAACGGAGTGTGCACATGGTAGACCTTGACGTTGGAGCCCCCGGCACCCTCGACTGTTGATGTCAAGAGGAAAGATACGGGTAGAACATTAATATTTCCCTTCATATCTATTTCAGGTTTTCACATTTGCGTCACTGGATTGCTTTCATAATTATGATTATTATCATGAAATGAGTCATTCAAAACGACCAATGATGACTCAGCAACTTACTTGGTATGACATACGGAGGCGGGTCCCCAGTTCCGTCAGCACTCATTCTGCTCATTTAAACTGCTGGGACAAAATAAAAAAAAAAGTCTCAAGATGTGATGTTTTCTATTAGGGCTGTTGCAATATACTTACATATGCTAAAGTGTGATAAAACGACAATCTATGCCGGCAACTAAAAGGATGTATGTTCGAAAAGTCACATTGTGAGCAAGGCATTTGAAAACTAAGTGAGAATCCATGTTATATTTTAGGATTGCTTGCTGTCTGTTACTGTTGTGTGTACAAACATCAGAAAATGCCCAGTAAAAAAAGCTGAAAGGTGCAGACCGTCTTCAAAGGGCAACGCCTTTGAGTTTAGGGGGAAGAAGCCTGAGAAAGTGAGGGATGACATGACATGACAGTCTTCCCACAATGAAATAGTCTGAACACTTCTCTTCTTCCTGCTCAATTATCATCAATCTATGTGTCAGCTAGACATGTTTTTGCCAAAGTGTATAAAATGCAGACATATTACAAGTCATGTGACATTTATTTCCATAATGCTACAGTGCGGTAAACGACTTAGATAACAAAAAGACAACAGTTCTACAAGCCTAGAAGTGGAATGTTGCTCTACTACATGTCTAACTGCGGTAGTAATACTCGACTAATCAAACCCTGATGCTTCTTATGGAAAACAAGCTCCAGTCTATTTACCTGAACTTCACAAACCAAATATATCAGATCAGCAATGTGTAGGTACAAGAACATAAAATATTCCCATTAAATTTATATTTCAAAGTGTATATAAATGATTGTAGTTAATTGTATTATATTTTAGGTGTATCAGTAGGAGGTGACCTGGCTGGAACCCTAAATACGTCAGTTATTTTACAGCTAAAGCACCCATTTATTGCTCAGGCCAGCTTTGATCAAAGCATTTACTATGCCGTCTTTCTTAGTAAATGAGGATTTAGAGCTCACGCCATTCAAAAAAATGTTACTGCAATTAGTTTTAACAACTTAAGATTTGTTGAGATAACTTAAATACCCAACTTAACTAAACTAAAGTTAACTAAACTTAACATTTTAAGTCAAGCACGAACACATACTTTTAATGTAAATGACTCTGCTAAATGAATAGATGTAAATTATATATCATTTACCTTCAGACAAATTGCTCAAGAAAACTACTTTTTCTGGTGAAAAAAAAAAAGAATACAGTATTACAATAATACCATAATGTGTTTGTGAACGGGGTGGTTGTTACTACACAACGCATAACACGATTTCACTCATTATTTTAAAAACATTTTTTGTCTTCTAATCTGAAGCAAATCACCTTCCAACATCAACATCCGAATATTTAGCATCAGTTCTAATTACATTCAACTAACAATTCAAGAAAAAAATCCTGAAAGGAATATAAACAGCAATGCAAAACTGTTGAGTACTCAATACTTCAAACTCCTAAACCTTTTCTTAGATCATCAAAAATGCCCCACCTAAATCCAGACCCAAAACTGTACAGAGAGCTCTCTTACCTGTCCTGTTGCTGAATGTTAGACTAAAAACCAGTTTCGATGGCATTTACAAGCTTTTCATATTCACTCACCAGCTCCACCCCTGCCTACGTATGCATTAACATATTCTGTCATCTTTTATGAATGTTCTGATGCAAGGGGGGAAACAAGAAGAATGCTGTATTTCTTGACATAAATCATTGAAAATGTCTCTGTCTCTGAATAACCAGTTTCGCTAATATCATCAATGGTGAGTTACAGTAAACATAATACTTCTATACTGAAAATGACAAAAAGTGTATTGTGGTAGCAGGTGTTTTGTTTTCACTTTTCACACCTGTTATTTCCAATGAATGAAAACCTAAATAGTGTTTGCTATCATGTGAAGTTGGTCAGATATGGTAATCAAAACTAAGTTGAAGTTGATATCTTATGTAGTGACTCCTTTACTCTAACCCTTATGTTCTCCCAGAGCCCTCAAAGATTTATGCGTAAAAATGATAATAAAGAATAGTATTTTTAAAAGTAACTTATTTTCTTATCAAATTGTCAAAACCCATTTGACAGTAATTATGGAATCTTTTAAGAACTTTTTGGAAATGTGAATGTTGATACAGTAACATTAATGTGACCCCGGTAAAAAAAAAAAGAAGAAAAACAATAGTTTAAATAACAGAATTGAATCAGAAAATCTTAACATAATCTGGAAGTAACAGAAGTAATGTAGACTATTTTGCTAACACTTCACAAGAAGGTTTTTACAGCATTTATTAATCTAGATGGCTAATGTTTACTTCTGCATACATTTTAACATTTTATGTTCTATAAATTAACATTAGTTGTATTATGAACAAACACAAATCAATAATGAAGTTTATTTACTATATTAGTAGCCTGAACTATAGTTTGTCATGGTCAGTTCATGATACTATTGCATTAATTAATGTTAAAAATTTGATAGTTGTAAAGTGTTAAAGTGTGATCAATGACATCAGGAGTAAAACTTTTATATCTTATAATGAGTAATTATAAATTTTATGAAAGGCATCAACATATCAATGTCAACCTGATATGTTAATTATACTAAACGGAGTTAAAAAAAAAAAGAAGAAAGAAACAAAAAGGCCCTGGGTTCTCTCAGGCCACAAACAGAACATGTAAAACAACATGTTAAGGTGGTCTGAAATTTTGAAAAATCCTTTCTTGAAACTAACAGACTAGATAATGTTGGTTTCCAGCAAAGATATTTCAAATTTTTCAAGCTTTTTTCTGTTTAAAAGTGTAACCTCTTAGCCTAATCTTTGTGTTACACGCTATCATCACATCAGCATTAAAACTAACTTAAAAACAGATTTTGTGAGAGATAAACGTCCCTACTAGGGCTAAGGGCAAAGAACTAGTTGAGATGGATGGATGAGGGGTACGTGAGCTGACTTCATGAGATCTCCAGGTGTGGCAGGGAGTGGAAGAGTGTGTTGCTGATATCATGAGAGTGGGCTCGGCTTCTCAGCTGTGTCCTTTTGTGCGACACTCCTTTCAGTGCGGTTTAACTTGTCCGGCAGCATTCCATCTGCTGTAACCAAACATTATATGTTCCACATTCCATAAAAAGGTTGCAAACTTTCTGCTGATGATTACAGATAAATAATTATAGTGAGATGTTGAGTTTGTCGGGCCTGTAGTATTTTGAATGAATGAGGTATATGGCGCATTCCTATGTCCTGCTGTACACCCAAAGCACTTTACAATTATGTCAGGGGTCTCTGTCTCTCCTCAACCAGCACCAGTGTCCAGCATCCACTTGGATGATGCGACGGCAGCCACAGTACAACGGCGCCAGTGCGCTCAACACACACCAGCTATAGGTGGAGAGGAGAGTATATATCATCTGCCAATTTCCTCTGGATGTCCACTGGAAGAGTATGATCTCTGGTTATTTGTACATGTTGCAACATCTTGCAACTGTACTTTTTATTTACAGCTGTAATTAAAATGATTCAACCCCCATTGCAAACTTTACAGGTTTATTGACACAATTTACAGACTTTCAGCTGTTTGCAATGAACAAATCAAACATAAATAATTGAAATAGCTCAACACAACAAATTTTTCAAGTTGTTTCCCCAAATTTAGCTGAAAATGCAACTTTTAATGACTTCTGCAGTCTCAAAATTATTGCACTGAATGTTCCTAGACACCATTGGAAGCATAGTTCACAAGTTCAAAGTTTAAGGAAGAGTGGTTACACTACCTGGACGGGGCAGAAAAAGGGAGCTATCAACGGCTGCAACCTTGAGTGACTGCAAAAGACCTGCAGCAAGACTTGGTGGCAACAGGCACTGAGGTTTCAGCTTACACAGTAAGGCGAGTACTAAAAGCATGCGTTTTCCATGCCAGAACTCCAAGACGTACACCACTACTGACCCAAAAGCTCAAGAAAAGTGCTCAAAATCACATAAATAAGCCACAGAAGTTTTGGGATTCTGTTCTGTGGAGCGATGAAACAAAACTGCAACTTTTCGGCCCTATGGATCAGCGTTATGTCTGGAGGAAGAAGAATGAAGCACATGCTGAAAAGAAAACTCCGCCAGTTAAGCATGGTGGGGCTTGGTGATGCTCTGGGGCTGCTTTGAAACCCAAGAATATTTCTGAACTGCAGGCTCATGAGGATTCATCAGAAACACTGATGGGGAAGTTATAAACATCACGTGAGATGTTTTAAACAAATCGCTTTCCAAAACCTTTACTTAAAGCCTTTAGGCCACTGCAAGTAATTTCCTAACAAACTAGCATGCTTCGTTCAGTTTAAAAAAGCATTTTTTTTTTTCAGATTCCAAATTCTGACTGGATGAGATTAAAAACTGATGTATAAAAACACAACTGTGAACATGCATTCTAATACTAACCTTAACCCTATAGCCTTTATTGTTCATAACTTCTTACTGAACGTTTGTGTGTCGATTGCTGTTACTGCAGTTTTATAAAAACAATAAACCACTTGAAAAAGTACTGTAACTTTTGGGAGAGCGAAAAGGCATCAAGATATGCACTTCTCGTAAAGAGTAGGGGTGTAACCCCGGTGTCCTGGCCACATTCCACCCATTGGCCCCTGCCAATCATGGCCTCCTAATAATCCCCATCCACTGAATTGGCTCTATCACGCTCTCTCCTCTCCAACTATAGCTGGTGTGTGTTGAGCGCACTGGCGCCATTGTACTGTGGCTGCCGTCGCCCATCCAAGTGGATGCTGCACACTGGTGCTGGTTGAGGAGAGAACCCCTGATATGATTGTAAAGCGCTTTGGGTGTACAGTAGTACATATGAAAGCGCTATATAAATGCCTCATTCATTGACTGATTCATTCATTCATTCAATATATGGTCCTGCAGGGTGTGGTTGCAACTAAGAAACATTTCTACGTCAAAAAGAAAAAGAGATTATGTGTGCAGTTCCCATAAAGCATGGAATGACAACCGTGGCAAGAACGTTCAATCATCACATTCCAACAAGAAAAGTCCACCAGAAAGATCTGCAAAGAAAAGCAAGTAAAAATAGGGCCCAATCTACTGCTGTAATATGAAGGAATTTTCCTTATTGATTTTTCACAGGTGTTTTCCCCTTCTTTTGAATTTCGCACTGTTTTAGGGTAAAAGAAAATGTCTGTAAACTGAACGAGGGCAGAAAATTACCAGTACCTTTTCTGTTTTTTTTTTCTTTCCAGATTTGTGGCGAGAAAGACAATGTGAAGGCTAGAAACTGATGCAGAGAATATATGCATGCTGTGCATATGCATCTGTTTAATTTAAGGATAAATAATAAAGAGTTAAAATGAGAATCCTGTTGGTTTTGCATTTTAAAACTTGTTTGCATTTTTTGTAGGACCATTTATTGAAATATATTCTCTGCAATATCTAAAGCTAACAGTACTAAAAGCAACACTTTTTTTTTTTTTTTTTTTTTTTTAACCATCTAGCAGCTAAATAAATGGTAACACTTTATTTTGATGGTCCCGTTTGAACATTTTTACTATAAGTGACTTTGCATCAACTAACTCTCATTACAGTATTAGTACATTTCTCTTTAGGCATTATTCAATCGTGTATTAGTTAATTTATTTATTTTAATTGGGCTGCACTGAAATATTTCGACCTGGTGTGAACTGAAATTAATTTAATGTAATATGTGTGATGACCCAGATCTTGGTGCTGAATTGTGATCAACTCCAAATTTAGTCCCAAAGTAATCACAGATCCGAATTCAGCTTGGAGGTTATTCTCCCAGGCTGTTGTAAGCACTGGTTGCACAAAGAATGCATCGTCAAAATCTGAAACATGATCCATGAGTGCAATTTGTTCGTTGCTAGGCAACTGTACCACCTCTTAACTGTAGGGGGAGCTGAACCTATACGCTTTTGGGCTCAGACTTCAGGTTTCAGATGTACTTTAAATTTGTCAGCCATGTAAAAGTTAAAGGAATAGTTCACTTCAAAATGAAAATTCTGTCATCATATACTCACCCTCAAGTTGTTTCAAACCTGTATGAATTTCTTTTTTCTGCTGAACACAAAGGAAGATATTTTTAATAATGTCAGTAACCAGACAGTTAACTGGACCCATTGACTTTTTTTTATTTTTTATTACAATGGAAGTCAATGGTTCCCGTTAACTGTCTGGTTACTGACATTCTTCAAAATATCTTCCTTTGTGTTCAGCAGAAGAAAGAAATTCATACAGGTTTGAAACAACTTGAGGGTGAGTATATGATGACAGAATTTTCATTTTGAAGTGAACTATCCCTTTAAATGTTGTAAATAATACCTCAGACATATGTTTATATGTTGTATAGATAATTATGTTTGTGTTGTTTTTTCCCCACGCTTGGAACACTTTGTGTTACTTTATACAGACAAATGCAGACCTTGTGCACAAAAAAAAAAAAAATTGGTTTTAGTTATTGAGATTATAACCCAGAACTACATTTCCCAGAATTCCTTTAAAAACAGTTTCTTTCTTGGACTTGTGTGCTTTCCGTACACTCGTCACGGGATTGCTTATGATTGTTAGTCATGGGGAAGAAGACATGTTCGCAGTAGTTGTCCAGTTCGCAGGTTTAATGTATGTATAATTGTAAAAGTTGACATGGCCAACATCGCGAAGAAAGTGTCATGGTCTGGCCGAGGCGAAGATCGCGGAGAGAGAACGCCACTGCTGAACGGTGCCGAGGATGGGAAATACAACAGAAAGGTACCAGACAAGCCATGCAGACTACATAACAGACATATATTGGACTCACATTCAATCTGTAATTTTTTGGCTTCTACTTAAATGAATTACTTGCTCTGCTGATACCGCTGATAACGCTTGTTAAGCATGCAAAGGTATTGTGTTGGCTTGCAGACGCAGCAACATAATATTGACAGTACAGTTGCTTTAACTTCATGTCATTCCACAGTGTTGAAACGAAAACAAAATAGTTCTTAAACCTGTTATAATAGGGTAAAACCTTTGTGTTACTTGTAAATCCTTGTAAGGTCCTTATGTCCTTGTATTTTTGTGCAGGTTGTTTTGCAACTCTGGATATTTGAATTTTTTACTTCCCATTTCTTTTAACCCTCTTATTCGGCTAAGAAACTGTAAGCACCTGTCATCATGTGACCTACATTGAATCGGTAGATTTTTTGTCAGAGCCATAGCTAGAAATTCTGGCCCCTCACTATATACGGTACTGGGCTTCACACATTGTTGTGGGGCCCCAACACGAACTACAATGTGTGTGTGTGTAGGATATTGTGAGAAGAATTTATGTTAAAATATAGTCGTATTTTTTTGTATTGTTGATGTAGATTAACGTAGACTCTTGATAAGTGTAATGTGTTTGGTTCATAGTTATCTGGGGGAGGTATATTTCATATAGGCAGGCTGAGCACAGTGGACCTTGAGGAGGAAATCACACCCGAAGAGGTAAAATCTGTTTGACATCAATTCATTTTTATTCATTTTAAAAAAAGGACACTTCAAAACAAAGAACACTAATAGCCCTTATTCCAGTCCAAAAAAGTGGCTTCACTGTTTTGATGCAGCTGTAGTTTCAGTTTTAATTTCGAAATGTTTGTGGTTTATTCATGATTTGCATGTTAGGCTGCACATAAATCTGTTCTAAATCTCTCCTAAAATCATCCACTCTTGGCAGGAGACTCAGGAAAAAGCCTGACTTGATGTACTTGATTATTTGTGAGGTCATGTTTCCGATGTGCTGGCATGAGGTCAAGTTTGCTCATGGCTGCAAAGAGTTGATGTAGCTAAATAAAGTGTTGTGCTATTCTGATTGCATGAGCATAGAATGACTATATATGCCCTTGATGAATTGCAACTCTTGAGTCTGTTTTTTTCTTCTCCAATTTACACAGGACATTGTGAGAAGTCGACCAAAGGAAATCCCTCACAACGAAAAGCTGCTGTCCCTCAAATTTGAGGTAATTGAATCTAGAGCTGACCTTTCTCTTTCAATTGAGCGTCTGTTGGGAATGTTTTGACAAATAAGTAGGGTTTCATTAACTTAGCTTAAAATGAGGCAAAATGCAACATGTACACTTTAAAAAAAAGTGTCTTTGAAGAGCTGTGATATAAAATGTCACTACTATGCATTCTGTGTTTCAGAGTCTTGATTATGATAACAGCGAGAATCAGTTGTTCCTGGAGGAAGAGAGACGAATGAGTCACATGGTCAGTAGACTAATATGCAGGAGCGAACCTTGACTCTTGAACCTTGGCCCTCTCACCCCCAAAGTAAAAGTACCCCAAAGTAAAAGTTCACCAAATATTAACCTGACCTAAAATCAGCCTAGCTTACTGTGTCCTCTTCTATAATACTGCATGTTACCTTTGACAAGAAATACCACAAGGAACCATCAAGTGAGCATGAGAGTTATCACCAAATTAAACAAAAAGTAATAAAATGCAAGTTATCATTACAAAGAATTGCATCATCACACAATAGGTGTCATTACAGCGGAATATGGTGACAACTGGCCACAAAAGCAACTAAATTTTATGTAAGCCGACGCATCATGACATAGCTCAGACCGAAGCACATTAGCGACAGACACTTCAGCATATGTTGAAAATTAATCATAACATTAGACTTTCACAGCAGCTGATTAAATGTATGTAACAGACCGTATTTAAATTATGATTTGGGAAAAATATAGCTATTATGCAAAATTACAGTAAATGTGCATAGTCGCCAAGTTAGTAAATTTACAGACTGACCAGTAATTCTGCGAAATAACTGTTTTCTCAACTAAAGACAGTGGCAGTGGCAGGCAGAATAAAGTCAGTCACGTAACCGGTTAGATTTTAAATAACTTGCACCAACGGCAAACAATTCCAGCAGTAAAGCTTTAGTTTGATTGATGCTGTCATCCAGGGGTATCACTTAATTGCTGTGGTTTAAAGGTGCTGTATGTAACTTTTTCACTCTACTAAAGCATAAAAATACCATAATATCTTTGCATATTTTGAGGAAACATTCAAAGTTCACATATTCGTTTCTCTGAAAAACACTTCTACAGCCAGTTATTTTACTTTAAAATGTGCGTTTCCAGGCTGGAATGTTTGTTTTTGTTTTGGTCTGTGATACTGCATGTTGCCAATTTTCATTGGCGCTCGTTTCATTGGTGCTCGTTCCTGTTGCATGTGCTCAAACTGGTAACCCGTGTGAGCGTCGTCCAGTCTGAAGAGCAGGTGGCAGGAGAAACGGCGATCTCCGATATTTAGAATTGGACTGGAGTACCTATTTCGACCACTAGTTGTCATTCTTACAGACTGCACCTTTAAATGCTTTAAAAAGCTTTGGCTTTCTGAACACAATGAAGCTCTGGTGTAGGTCTTCATTTGCTGATTAACTCCAGCTTTTCTTTAAAAGTTAATTGTGAAAACTGCGTGGATAATAAATTAGCAACGATGTCCTCATTAATGTTGCTTGCGGCTTCCATAGCGAATAGCGCTAGCTATTTTATCAGTCCCCCCCACCCCCCACATCGAGTTTCTCACATTTCATAAACCTGATGATAACAAGCCAGGGACAATAAGATTGGTTGATTTTCCTGTCATTTCAAATTCGTCTCTCATTGACTTGCTATAAACCAGTGGTTCTCAAACCTGTCCTGGAGTACCACCAGCCCTGCACATTTTGTCTGTCTCCCTATATCTGACAAACTCATTTCAGGTCTTGCAGTCTCCACTAATGAGCTCACGAGTTGAATCATGCTATGGATGCATTCCGATTCTGACATCCAAAAGCACAAGACATTTTTTCTCTTGTTCCGTGGATTTTGTCTATTTTCCTCCACTTGTTACCACTGTTTTTCTGCCACCACAGTATGCACACAGCTGGCCCACCAATCACAGAGCTGAATGCGTTAGGCGGAAAAATAGAGAAAACGGACGTAAACTATTATTTAAAAGTTTTTAAATATTATTTTTTACAATAGTGTAGGCCCCCTCTGCTCATATGACATATGCTGTATCAACTCGACCCCTAAACACATTGATTTTTTTTTCAATCACATTATTTTCTTTATAATTTATATCACTAAATGAATGAATGAAACTAACAGCACAGTTTTGCACATTTTTTTTCTTGATAATCTTCAAATTGGCTTGATCCAAAATGAATATGTCATGCAATCATTTTGAAGATTTGCAGAACGGCACTCACTGATAAGCTGTTTCCACTTAAAAGCAGTTTATTCAGTGTACTTGCAGAACAGACTCTGGTTATAGAGTCTATAATTGTTTTAGCCATTGCAGATTAACATGAAATGCTTATTTATCCTAAACACAGGGTTTTAGATGTCTGGAGATCAGGCGATGGGTGATCTGTGGTCTGATTGGGTTCTTCACTGGTCTCATCGCATGCGTGATAGACATTGCTGTGGAGAGTCTTGCTGGGTACAAGTACTATGTAGTCAAACAGAGTATCCTTTTTCTGTCAGTCATGTAATTTACAATCCTCTGATATAATCTGTTTATCACGTAAAGCACTCAAAAAAGTGTATTTGTATAAAAAAAGTATATTCTTTATTTAATTTTAATTAGCCAATATACTGCAGTTCTTGAACAATTTGTCACAACATAATTTCATTTCATGCAATCAGTTTACATTTGTAATATGAAAGTTGGTGTAATCCATTTCCTTTGGGATTACATGAATAATTTGGCCATAACCGGATGCACGCCAATCCAGATCCAGACACAGACAGATTTGAAATAGACAGATTGTATTAGTAAAAAAAAAAAAAAAAATGCTCTATGTAGTTTGTTAAACTTATTTCTCAACTATTTTAAAATGAGGATTTCTTCATTTTTTTTTCCAGGAAAAAGACTATTAATAGCAATGTTTATTATAAAAAAAACCCAAAAAATTTCATGTTATTATGCAGTAATACACCTTAGTAATATTTTTAATACAGTGCTAATCTGATATGTGATGTTTCTTACTGGCTTCAGAGTTTCTTTAATCAGATGTTCAGACATTGAGAAATTCACAGAGCTCGGAGGCCTGTCCATCTCTCTTATACTGTGGGCAGTGCTGAACTCTGCTTTCGTGATGGTTGGCGCTATCGCTGTTGCTTTTATTGAGGTTTGTTTTCTTCCTGTCCGAATGATATTTGTGTTGTGTGCCTTCTGTGTTTCAGACTGAGTCACAGAGTTCAAATCATACATCTCTTTCAAAACAATGTACTCAAGCAGAAAGCATAATTTGGCTGCGTTTGCAACAGCATACTAGCATACTGCATTATTAATTATATTTCTCGACTTATTGAATCAGATTGGGTTACTTCTGTAAATTTTTGTTGTTATTGAAATTGTACTTTTTTCTCTTTTTTTTAAAGATTTGTTTTTATTAACCGCAGCTCTTACAAAATGTTAATTGTGTGTAGGAAGGATCTACAGTTTGATACATTTAAAGTCGTATTTAACAAAAGGAATATACACCTACAGACACACCTTACAAGGATGAAGATTTTCCATTTTAAACATCAGAAGAGAAAAAAAATATAATAAAAAAAAATTAAAAAATAATAATAATAAAAAAACACAAATATTACACAAACTTTTCCCATCCCACCCTCCACCCTCTTCCCATGTATGGTTCTCAGTTTCTTTTCATTTATATATCTAAAGTAAACAGTCTATATACAGTTTATACATACCCCCATCTGTATAAATACATACCTATATAATTCTACACGTTACTCACAACAAATGCATCAATGAGGAAGTTTCCAGAGAAGGCAGAATGTCTATGAAGGGGCCCCAGATTTCTCTAAAGGCTGCTTGCTTCCTTCTCACACTATATAATATATTTTCAGGTGTGCAGTAAGACACAAGCTCATTAACCCAATGTCTTACTGATGGTGAATTTTCAGATTTCCAGTTGATCAGAATACATTTTTTTTACTGCAGTGCTTGCAAGTAAGATAAAGTATTTCTTGTAGTAGTTCCAATTTTACTTTTTCTGAAAGAAATTAATACTTTTATGCAGCAAGGATGCATTAAATTGTATATAAAAGTGACAGTTAAATGAAATGCTGTTTTACTATTAATCAAAGAATCCTCGAAAAAAAATTATTACGGTTTCCACACAATTATTAAGCCGCCCAACTGTTTTCAACATAGATAATAATAAGAAATATTTATTATCAGCAACATTTTAGACTAGAGTAATGATGCTGAAAATGCAGCTTTGACATCACAGGAATATATTACTTCTTAAAATATATTCAAATAGAAAATAGCTATTTTAAATTGTCATACAATTTCGCAATGTTGCTGTTTTTACTGTATTTTGATCAAATAAATGCTGCCTTGGTGAGCATAAGAGACTTTAAAAAAATGTTACTGACCAAACTTTTGAATGCCGTATACTACAAAGTATTTACATAGTTTTACTTTGAACATTGTTTACAATTCATTCTCGTTTTCTCTCAGCCCATTGCTGCAGGAAGTGGAATCCCTCAGATAAAATGCTACCTGAATGGAGTGAAGATCCCTCGTGTTGTTCGACTAAAGGTGATGTATTTTTTGTGTGATAAAGCTATGTAGAGCAGTCGTGGCCTAATGGTCAGAGAGTCAGACTTATAACCTGAAGGTTGCAAGTACGATTCTCAGTACCGGCAGGAAAATGTAGGTGGGTGAGTGAATGAACAGGGTTATCTTCCACCCTCAATAATCCTTGAGCAAGGCACCGAACCCCCAATCGCTCTCTGAATGGCTGCCCACTGCTCCTAATGTGTGTGCACTAACTTGGATGGTTTAAATGCAGAGGACAAATTCCGAGTATGGGTTACCATACTTGGCCTTTACATCACTTTCACTATTTCTCTCTCTCTTTTTTTTAAGAGATCTCTAAAAATGTATTTCTTCCACGTCCACAGACTCTGGTGGTAAAGGTCTTTGGTGTGATCTGCTCAGTTGCTGGAGGTCTTGCTGTTGGAAAGGTACAATAGAAGAACAGTCAATTGGGGTTAATGAGACTTTAATTTGGGGTTAACAGACTCAGCATCTGCTCTTCTCTCCCAGGAAGGGCCCATGATTCACTCAGGAGCAGTGGTGGCTGCAGGAGTATCTCAAGGCAGAAGCACTTCACTGAAAAAAGATTTTAAGGTCAGTTTTCTGTACTATTGAGTCTACTTGAATCTAACAGTGAACATGGAGCCTGACTGCAAGTTTCTATTTCCTGCAGATGTTTGAGTATTTCCGCAGGGACACAGAGAAGAGAGACTTTGTCTCGGCAGGAGCAGCGGCTGGAGTCTCCGCTGCCTTTGGAGCCCCTGTTGGTGAGACATGCAGAAAATCATTTCAAATATCCACATTTTTTACATCAGATAGAAGCAAGTTATGCAAAGTCAATAAGAAAAATTTAGTTTTTTTAATTTAATTGTTAAAGCATATTAAAATACCTATACTTAGAGTTTTAGCTGTAAGTGAAAATGCATCACTTGTTCCTCTGAATAAAAGTTGTTAAACTGCCCTGGAATGAATCTTGGATCAGATTGTTCAGGGTCATCTTTGATTCATTGTGTTTTTTTGGCACAGGTGGGGTTCTGTTCAGTTTAGAGGAAGGCGCATCTTTCTGGAACCAGATGTTGACTTGGAGAATTGTGAGTGATTGTGAATAAGAGCTTGGTTCCTTATTAAAGAGCACTGTCTATTTTACTGCTTGAACCTCTCATCCTGCTTTGTTTTTGATCTAGTTCTTTGCTTCGATGGTCTCCAGCTTCACACTGAACTTTTTCCTGAGTATTTACCATGGGAAGCCTGGAGAACTCTCCAGCCCCGGTCTCATTAACTTTGGCCGCTTTGACAGTGATGTAAGTCCTGTATCTTTCTCTCTCAGTTACTCTGACAAGTTTTTTTAGCTGCCAATTTTAAGTTTTTCACAGCAACGAGATTTGAAAGTAAAATCTGTAGTATTGATCCTTAAAGGGACAATGTGTACTTTTTTAGGTATTTTATTATCTAAAATCAATATTTTTATTCATAAATATGTCCTCAATGGTGTACAAACACCTCTGCCAATAGCTGGGTTTCAGTCACGTGATTATGATGACGCGCGGAATTCAGATGGAGGGCAGGGGAGTGAAGAGCGCAATGGACGAGATGGAGGAAAGTCCGCACTGTACTACTTTACACGCTATTACAAGAGAAAGATGTAAACAAAAAATCAAACATATGTTGGACGTGATCCTTACGTTATGAAGAGGAGCGATTTTCAACTGAATTGAAAGATTTTCCTGCCATCGAGGTGGTAGATATCAGCAACTACCTCGTCTTACAGACATACTTGGACTTTACAAAGTTCGTAAATGTTACACGTTACACAAACATAGCCACTTAAGTTGTATTAACTCACCATTGACGAAGTGATCACTGCACAAACGGGCATTTTCCCATTCGGCTCCTCCCGACCGCAGACGTAGGTTTGCTAGCCGTTTTTCCGGAGTTTTTCGGTCAATTTCTTGCATTTTCCCCCTTTATGAACAACAACTTTTGGTACACGATAAAAACTCCTCGTGGTTTGATCGATTTAAGTAACCATAAACGACGCAAAACATAGGCATTTTGAGTTTGTTATAGTGCTTTCTAAATACAGCAAATCACTTCCTGCCCTCCATTTGCATTTCGCGCCATGGCAACGCAGTGGCGTGACGTCATATGAAAACAAGCTATTATCTGACTTATCCTCGTAAACGAAGAATTTATTATCTTTATATACATGGGACGGGTAGGTCCACGGAGGCTTCCATGTAGTTCCGCCATCTTGAAAAACTATAATAGCAGAGAGGGACAAAAAGTACTAGGCCAACGCGGTTTCGTTCAGAGCCAGCGTGACGTAACTGAAAGCAGCAGAAACGGAGGAGCAGAGCAGTGAGAGGCGCTTGTCACTGCCCCAGCAAGTTTCAAAGTCAGTAATTCGTACTGTAACATTCGTTTGTTCATTGTGTCAAGTTGCTATTTGTTTGAAATAACAAACCTGTTCACCCGAAGGAACACTCGACGAGGTCTATGTGTGCTATTAGAAGACATCCTGTCATAGCTTTTTGGTACATAACGGCTACCGTAGATACAACACGCATTTGAAAAAGCTAGGCGCTGGAGAGCACAATTCGTTTGCATGCAAAATACAATTTCACCGCTAGATGGGAGAAATTGTTACACATTGTCCCTTTAAAGCTTTCCAAAATGTCACAAGAACTAAATTGAATGTGTTTTCTTTTTTTAGACTGTGCAATATAATTTATATGAAATTCCTCTCTTCATTATCATGGGAGCTTTAGGTGAGTGGAACATCACTTTGTCTGTGCATAAAACATCTTAATAATTTTGTTTATAAAATTAAAATGAGTGGATGTAGCTTTTGAATAATTTGTCTGATTTTCTTTCGTTTTCCAGGAGGGATGCTTGGGGCATTGTTCAATTTGCTCAATAATTGGCTAACAATTTTCAGAATAAGGTAGGATCTCAAGCTATTGAATTCCGAAGGTCATGGGTAATACGTTTTGCATTAATTTAAGGAAAACATTTTTGAAAATCAAAATGTTGTGTAATGGAAAACTTTTATTGGGGCCACCATGTATCTATTCCTTATATTGGCCATTTTAAGTAATTTTTGCAGGAACTTGACAATAGGTTTGAGATTCTGCTAAATGGTGGGTTGGTTTTGTCATTGAATTGTAGGTATGTGTGTATCGTTGAACAGAAGCAGTTGTGATGTTTATGACAATTTTTACATATCAATCCAACAATTCTCTAGGTTATGCCCTCATGTCAAATTGGGCATAATAGAGTCTGAGAATGACTGATACCGAAAACACAAAATATCTGTGTTTGAAAACATAATGTTAAGTAATATTGGAGAATATTACATTTAACAAACCTTTTATTTTTAAACATGTCAGCTTTATTAGTTACACTGCCATTCAAAAGCTTGTGGTCAGTAAGATCAGTCAGTTTTTTTGTTGTTGTTTTTTTTTTTGTTTTTTAAGAAATAATACTTTTACTCTGCAGGGAGGCATTAAATTGATCAAAATGGACTGAAGACAAAGTTATTCAAGTTTTTTAATTTCATAAATGCAGTTCTTTTAAACTTTTCATCCACTTCCATCCATCCATCGGCCTGTGAGATTTTAACAGGATGTGTTATGTCTCAGGTACGTTCACCGGCCGTGCCTGCAGGTAATGGAGGCTATGCTGGTTGCGGCGGTGACCGCTACAGTTTCCTTCACTATGATCTATTTCTCCAATGACTGCCAGCCATTGGGACCGGACCACACTGAGGAGTATCCTCTGCAGGTGTTTGTGCTTACTGAGCTTTCAAAATGTTCTCTTAGTTGAGAAAATGCTTAGTTGAACTATTCCTAGATCAGAATATAGTCTGAAATGTCAAACAGACACGTGATTAGTTATTTTGTTCATTTACAGCTCTTCTGTGCTGATGGTGAATATAATTCCATGGCCACTGCCTTCTTCAACACACCTGAGCGGAGTGTAAGGAGTCTGTTCCACAACCCCCCAGGTGTGTCTCTGTACGGGTGTGAACGGGCTTGAGAATGTGTGTGGATATTCTCAGACTTGCATTCTCGAAACATCAAGCCTGATGGTTATTGCAGCACTTCTTGAATTATGTGGTGTGTCTGCATGTTTTTTTTGTGTATGTGTGTGTTTGCATATGTCTGCCAATTATTTAGCAGATTTGGTTACAAGCTGGAAGCAGGCCAGCTAACAGGCAGCTAAAATCTTCCTACGCTCTGGAGAAAAGCCACCTTTAATCACTTTCCCAGAGAGCTGCAAGTGCACATAGTCAGTACTCAGCCACTGGACTAAACAAGCAAAATCACAACTTACCAATTGGCAAGGTTTATAATGACTATATAATGACCAAGTTGGTAATGCTTCAGAATGTAATATGATTATATTATAACATCATAATTACATGTTTTATATATGATTAATATCACATATAATGTTATGGTTTTAATATTACTTCATGGCTGGTAGCCTTATGCTGCCCTCTAGAGCTGGAGTGTTTGATAGTATGCTAAAGAGAACAGATGTTCACCCTACTACAGATCATGCAGGGTTGTGCATGTCTTTTGCATTTACATTTAAGGCATTTAGAAGATCCTCTTATCCAGAGTGATGTACCAACAGTGTTTTAGCTTAACAAATGAGATGCCATTTAAAACCATATCTGCTAGGAAAGGTATGCTTCTTCTAGTGCTAACTATAAACAAATTAAATACAGATGAAATAAAACCTAGTACAAATAAAGAAACCAATGCAATTATCTTATTTTATTGTTTTTTGTGTCTTTTATTGTTATCTTTTTAGAAACAAACCTTGCATATATATATAACAAACACACCACGCATATATTTATGTGTTTTTATAAATCGTATTTCTGAGTGTATATACCTCATAACTGGGCCATAACTGGACAGCCTATTATAAAGCCTTCAGTCCCTACCATTCCTTCTAACCAGGCTACCCATCTCTCTTTTTTTAAAATGAGTCCTGCTGCAGTCTAGTTTTGTTTTAATATTGAAATTTTACTGGGAATATCTCTCTTTCTCAGGAACGTACAACCCTGTGACTTTAGGGGTCTTCACTCTAGCCTATTTCCTCCTGGCTGTCTGGACGTATGGTCTGACCGTGTCGGCAGGAGTGTTTATCCCCTCTCTGCTCATTGGAGCAGCCTGGGGACGACTCTTTGGGATCCTTTTGTCTGTCATCGCTTCCAGCCAATCAGTAAGTACTTACCCCTCTCTGCATTTTTTTAATTACAGCTACATTTTTAATTAATTTTTACAGTGACCAAGAGGGGACATGTTTGATTCACTTAGTTTTGTCGTGGCTATGGGATATTATTTTGTGGGAACGTCATATTAACTAGTGGGAATGTGATAAGTCATGCCCATGAGATTGTTTTGTCGAAGTAATGACATTCTTATGTTGTGGCCACATGGTGTAAAGTCGTGGCCTCGAGATCCTATGTTAAGGGAACAATATATTTTTCTCATGGCCTTGAGATAAATGCGTAAACAACCTGCGCGGCCATATCAACCTGGAATTATCAGAAATGGATTGGCATAAAATATTTATTTTTAATTAAGAAAAAGCACAGTAAAGAAATGATTAATGATATTAACATTGCCTATTAAATTTTATTGCGCCGGATGGTGTCTATAGACTGCTTTTGAACGAAATGTATCAATAGCTAATTGTTTAATATTCCTTATAAAATATTTTATCTATCCCATCCAACATTCTTTTAAATCCATTCACTGATCATTTGTTTTTATTTTAATATTTATATATTATTATTATTATTGGGTAAAATTTGTTTTCATTGTTATGCATTTGCTTTATTTCCCCCTTCATTTCTTTTATCTCTTTACCTAATTAACTTTCTGTATATTATGTTACTTAAAGGGTTAGTTCACAAATAAATTAAATTGCAGTCATTAATTATTCACTCTCATGTCGTTCCAAACCCCTAAGACCTTCATTCATCTTCGGAACATAAATTAAGATCTTTTTGATGAAAAGCCCTCTGACCCCACGATAAACAGCAATTTAATTATCACTTTCAAGGCCCAGAAAGGCAGTAAAGACATTGTTGAATTATAGTCCATGTGACTCCAGTGGTTCAACCTTAATGTTATGAAGCGACGAGAATACTTTTTGTGAACAAAAACAAACAAAAATAATGACTTTATTCAACAATTTTTTCTCGTCTGTGTCAGTGTCCTACACTGTTGACGTTGTAACTGTGCAACGCTTCTGGGTTCTACGTCAGAACTCCTAAAATGAAGGGGTCAGAGAGCTCTCCGTTTTCATCAAAAATATCTAAATTTGTGTTCTGAAGATGAACGAAGGTCTTACGGGTTTGGAGTAATTAATGCCGCACAGCAGAGCCTGCCGTGAACGCGCAGGCTAGTAAGCAGGGCCACCGATGACGGCGGATAAACAGTTACTGTATGGCACATTCACTAGTAGGGACAAAACATCAACAATATGCTTTACGTTGACTAAGGCCTGCCCATACTTTGACTACAAACTTGGTCCTCAAATCATTACGTATTTTGCAATACATGTAATGTAACTTTATAACGTTGCACCCTTTCTATAAGTTATAAATAGCTAGTAAGATAATATAACGGTAACTAACGTAACAGTATGTAAGTAATTATTCTAGCGATATGTAGGCCTAATGCTAGATAAGGTTTGTTAGTACATTATTTCATCAACATGAAAAGCCAGTGAATTAGCAGGTTTTAATTGTTGCTTTGCACAGTGCGTGACATTTTATCTACATGTTACTCGGCTAGAGTTTTGACACCGAGTCAATGGGCTCTGTCTAATTCTTTCTTTTTCGCTTGTTTATCGTCATCTGTCTTTTTCCTTTTACCCGTCTTTGTTTTATGAGCAGGTGCCACTCAAGAAATTTGCAGTTTAGGTTGTTTCTCCGCCATTAGCACAGCTGCAGCACACCGACAATCTTGAGTTTGAAAGACGGTACGCCGCGCGCTGTGCAAGAGAGGGGTGTGATCAGCGCGTACACGAGCGTGATTTACACTGCTAAGACATTCCTCCTGGCTCTGATTGGTTGTTTCTGACCGGGAGCGTGTATTACTGCAAATGGCAATAGGACCACTGGGAGGAGCCAGAGGAGCTTGATTTTTTCACAGATTATCTGTCTCATATTCTACTGCCAGGACATAATGACAGTTTTAACAAATATGTAAAAAATCTTTTTTTTACAAAAGTTACCTACAGCAGCTTTAATAGGCTTAATAATAGGATAATAATACAAATAAAGACACGGTCAGGGAATGGGTTTGGGATGGGTAAAAATGTTTTCTTGTAGGCCTAAATTATTTTATGTTCTTCTTACATATTCTTTTATCATTTATTGATCATTTATCATCGAGTCCACAACTTTACATCGCATGGTAATATTACATTCCCACAAATTAATATCTCAAGGCCACAAAATATTATCACGTTCCCACGGGTTAATATATCATGGCCACGACAAAACTAAGTGAACCGAACATGTCCCCTCCCAGTCACCGTAAATCTTTAACCCCAAATTTGAGAAAAAATAGAGCTAAAATATGAGGAAAGATTAACTGTATTGTGTTGTGGACATTTTCTAAACTTATAGATTTGGGCAGATCCTGGGAAATATGCTCTGATAGGTGCTGCTGCCCAGCTTGGTGAGTTTCATTCTCATGGTGAGATTCATGTTCATTTTAACTAGACTTTCTTTAATGAAATGCAGCAGTAATGCAGTCTTGTGGTTTATAATAGTCCTCCCAACTGCATTTCTGTAAAGGAAGTACGTGTCATCATTAACAAAATATAGCTGTTTTGTTGTGTTCATTTGACAGGTGGCATTGTCAGAATGACACTCAGTCTCACTGTAATCCTGGTGGAAGCCACCGGGAATGTGACCTATGGCTTTCCCATCATGCTTGTGCTGATGACTGCCAAAATTGTGGGGGATTACTTTGTAGAGGTGAGAAGCAAAATATCTAGCATGGTTATTTTTGTCTCTTGTGAACTGGTGATTTGTCTTTCCAGTAGTTTTTTGTTAGGGTTTCTTAAGGGTGTCACAAAGCATTAGTCATGCATACATGCCATTTATGTTTTGTGCTATTAAAGCATGAAGCTCATGTGTGTGTTTGTCTGACTGGTTTTTGTTGTTTATAGGGCCTGTATGACCTCCATATTAAGCTGCAGAGTGTTCCTTTCCTCCACTGGGAGGCTCCTGCTACTTCTCATTGGCTGACGGCCAGGTAACCACACCCTTCAGCCTTACATGTCATGTGATGCTTTTATCTTCTCTGATGCACGCTATACTGACTCTCAGTTCTAATTAATCTAACAGTAATTCATACAACCATGCAACATTAAGGCTATGAATGCTAAACCGTGTATGTACAATATATGTGTACAATAACAATTTTCGGAAAAAATAATATTACGTTGCCCAGAAATCCATTTCAATTGTGGTACATTGGGTTTAATTTGTCGTTAAATGAGATCTACTAATATATATATTGTTAGTGCCGAGAATTTTCAATAAATGCATAGATCTGCGAACAGTACTTGTGTAGCCTACAGTAATGATCTAGTGGTACAACTTTTGCCAAGCGTGTCAGAGGTTCTGGGTTTTTAATCCACAATCGTATAGTTTTTTGGGGGTTTTTACGCATTAAAACCGAATATGTTAATCTTTGGTTGTATATCAAGCAGGGACACGTTTGTGTGCATTATGTTTCATGATTTCACCGGAACAAATAGAGAATCTCTGCAACGGTTTTTAACAATTATTGAAGCGCACATCCGTTTGAAGAGACTGTATCTGCGCCACTGATAGCAGCGGCCGGCAACGATCTCTCAGCTTGATTGAAAAAAAATATAACACATTTCAGCGCTAGATCGCCTCTAATTTAACAAACAAACAAAACGAATGTTCTGCTATTTAACTGGAGATGTTTTATTTATTTTTATTAGGTTCATCCGTGCTGCGACATGTTTCAAAAAGTGGTGGCGACAATATCGACCCTGGCAAAAAGTGGTGGGGACATGTTCCACCTGCAAATTACGCCTATGCTTTGTAGGTCAAAACCTCTTTTACTGTCTATGGTCAAAACACAGAAGCGAGTTAGCATTTTAGCACTTCCGGTTCCATCGTCCCGAAGTCAATGGGTTTTTTGTAATGGGGTTTTGGTTAAATGGCTGAAATAAGGTCTGTGCCGAACACAAGCTCAAGATAATCTTCACATTTTATTCTACAACATAAAATACATAAGCTGTTATGTGTCTTAAAAAAAGGCGGTTGCTAATAAGTGGCTAAATGGGACTAAAGAGGGTGTCGAGGAGATTAAACATCCTCACGCCGAACAAGTAAGCTCAGTCCGCTGTTACAGCCTCATTATGCTTATAATTGTGCTCTAATAAACTATTCTAACTCAAAACGTTCTGAGTAAACTGAAAGAGTTATCGGAAGCTTAGTGACGTTGAATTTGTGGGATCGTGGTGCAGTTCGTTTATAGCCTACCTTTAGCTTTTTACTTCTGGCGACTGCATTTATGCTTGAAAATTCATAAAACTTGTTAATCTGTGAAAATGATCTTGATGGACAAAACTTGCAAGTCTCATAAACTTTTGTTGATCACAGAGCTTGTTTTTAGCGCTAATCCAAAAGCCTATGGAAAAATCCTATTGGGTTTTTTTTTCGAGGGACATTTTTCATATTTGAAAACTATCTTAAAGTGGATATTTTTTTATTTTTTTTATAATGAACAGATTTATACTTTAGACTAAACTAATAAAAAGAAAGTAAGCACGTTGACCAAGTGTATACTCATTTTTCTGTTAATATCTGTACTTGTGAAGTTTGTGGCAGGAAATGTTTATTAGATATTCAAAGACCTTTCCTTTCAATTATTAGACAGAACTGTTAAACAAAGACCGTAAACTAATGAAGATGAAGAATGAGTGCTTCTGAGCTCAGCTCGGTCAAAATAAAAGTCTTGCTTCTGACTATTATCGGCTAAACAGAAAAACTTATCAGCCGATGCGATAACAATTTAAAAAAAAAATCTTCTGATATATCGTCCTTTGCAATATATCGGTCAGCTACTAGTCTAGTGCAGTGTTTTTATTATTAATTAAAATTGTTTTAATTAATTGAAATAAAGCTTAAAATAAAACTAACTAACTTACTGCCATTTTAGTTACTAAAATAGTGAAAGTAATAAAATAAATAAAAACAAATGTATTAAAAAAGCTGAATAGAATACTTTTTTAAAAATGATAAAAGCACAACAATTCGACTAGAACTTAATGTAAAAATAAAGCGAATTCAAAATATTTATACGTACTACAATATGATATAAATAATACTCAAATAATGCTGGTGCAGTGTCATATAGTGAATGTGTTCACCACAGGGAGGTCATGAGCTCTCCAGTCACCTGCTTTAACAGAGTGGAGAAGGTCGGAACGATTGTGGACGTTCTTAGCAACACATCCACCAATCACAACGGCTTCCCAGTGGTTACCCATACTACTGGGCATGATGAGGTGACATAACCATGACAGCATGACATCAGATCCTGTTACTCCTAGTATATTCCAGTTTCAACAAAGACTAAAAGTTGCCAATCTTCTTCCCCCAGCTGGGCAAAATCTGTGGACTTATTCTCCGCTCTCAGCTTATTGTTCTTCTCAAACATAAGGTGTGGAAAAATGTTATTATGATGGCTTTAGTTGGACTTTCATCTTTATTTTATAGGCAATACTGTAACTGTTACTTTGGCAAATTCTAATAGTTCAGCCCTCTGTGACTCAGGTGTTTGTGGAGAGGGCATCTTCACGTCTCATCCAAAGGAAGTTACAGCTGAAGGACTTCAGAGATGCATATCCGCGTTTCCCTCCTATTCAGTCCATCCACGTCTCTCAGGACGAGAGGGAGTGCATGATGGATCTCACTGAGTTCATGAACCCGACCCCATATACTGTGCCTCAGGTCAGTTAACTTAAGTAACTTACATTGTAGCAGCATATTCTGGCCAAGAACTCCCCACAGACTGAGACTAACTGACTTCCATGTAAAGCAACCAATCATAGTTTTTGTTGTTGCATGCCATTTAGAGGCAAGTTTATCTGAAATTGATTATGTAAGGAATAATTGGCTCTGGGCCGTTGAATTATTTGAAAAATAATGCACAACTGAGGTGGTAATCGTGTCGTGGCCGTTACACCTCGGGTGTGCATTATTTTTCTAATAATTCAATGGCCCGGAGTCAATTATACTACGGTTATCACACCTCAAAACATTGTTAAGATGATGAGAGAGATTAAGCGTATGTAAATTACCTGAGTCTCAACAGTGTTCGGCAGAAGCGTCTCTACTAAAAGCGAAACTATAAGTTTATCTGCTATTTTTACTATATTTACATGCTTGGTCAGTGTTGTGGGTTTTGGTTCTTTTGTTTTTATAGGCTGAAAGAACCTTTGAAATAACTGAAATCATTTGGCGAAATGATATGGGCATGTAATGCGGTCAAGGCTTGCCTGGAACTACTTAAGCCGTGTGTTTCCCTGAAAATAATTGCACACCTTGCAACGTTCGTCAGCCAAACCGATTCAAGCATTCAACAGCCCCGTAATATAAATCATAAAAATCGACTAGCATCGAGAGAAAAAACAATTGAGGCAGAGACTTGAACCTCTCCAGTTTGCGGTTTATTCATACATGGAATTATGTCGTGTCCAAGCCTTAAAGGGTTAGTTCACCCAAAAATGAAAATTATGTCATTAATGACTCACCCTCATGTCGTTCCAAGCCCGTAAGACCTCCGTTCATCTTTGGAACACAGTTTAAGATATTTTAGATTTAGTCCGAGAGCTTTCTGTCCCTCCATTAAAAATTAATGTATGGTATACTGTCCTTGTCCAGAAAGGAAATAAAGACATCATCAAAATAGTCCATGTGACATCAGCGGGTTAGTTAGAATGTTTTGAAGCATCGAAAATACATTTTGGTCCAAAAATAACAAAAACTACGACTTTATTCAGCATTGTATTCTCTTCCGGTTCTGTTGTCAAGCCACGTTCAGTGACGCTGATGACGTAAGACGCTGCAGACGTGTAATCTGGTGCGCCCGAGCTTCGTTCACAGTCTGAGGAAGACGCACGCTGTAAACAAAACAATCTTCGCAAACATGTCTAAGGATTTCGACACAGAGGAAGACTTGCATTTTTTTGCCCAGCCATATTTATTTGAACCCGAATACACGGACCCACCAGATACACGTCAGCAGCGTCACTGCGGACTCGTGAACGCGGATTGACAACATTGAACCGGAAGAGAATACAATGCTGAATAAAGTCGTAGTTTTTGTTATTTTTGGACCAAAATGTATTTTCGATGCTTCAAAACATTCTAATTAACCCACTGATGTCACATGGACTACTTTGATGATGTCTGTATTTCCTTTCTGGACAAGGACAGTATACCGTACATATATTTTCAATGGAGGGACAGAAAGCTCTAGGAATAAATCTAAAATATCTTAAACTGTGTTCCGAAGATGAACAAAGGTCTTACGGGCTTGGGACGACATGAGGGCGAGTCATTAATGACATAATTTTCATTTTTGAGTGAACTAACCCTTTAACAAGAATGCAATTGCCACACCCTATTGAAGTACTGGTACCAGGAAGTGTATTTTAGTTGACATGACTATGTGGTTAAATCATGTGCTGTAATAATAACTGTTGTTTTTCATATTTGATTTCAGGAGACTTCACTCCCTCGTGTGTTTAAATTGTTTCGGGCGCTAGGACTGAGACATCTGGTGGTGGTTGATAATGAGAACAGAGTGAGTCAATCAATATTCCAAATATGTTACTACTTTTAACTCACAGCTACTGTTTAGGAACGTACAATATGTTGGTACTATATTAGTATTATTAATCAGCTATTGGCTGATATTAGTTTTTTTTTTTTATTTGTCAGTATCGTCTGATATTGAATATTTAATTTTGCTTGTTAATTTCTTCTAGTTTTATATTTAGATTACCTTTCTGTCATCTAGTGCTATCTTAAAGTTTATATTTAAAAACGCTAATTTATTTAATAAAACTGTTACATGTAATCTTTGGCCAATCTCAAAATAAATATTACTTTTCTATAATGTACATTTATAATGGTGGGATTCCTAAATACACCTGTAGCATTTAAAGGATTATAGTTTATTTATTTATTTAAATTTAATATTTGTTCTAATTTAATTGATTTATTTTAATTTCTTTATTCGTAATATATTTTAATTTATTATAGAGGAAATAGTATAGAACTTGAAAATTGTCCATTTATCGTTTGTCTGCAATAACATCAAAATTCAGAAATGTTACGAGTTTCTAATTCCCTGGGCTTTGGATGTGAAGGTTGAGGGGCTGGTAACCAGGAAGGATCTTGCACGCTACCACATGGGTAAAGATGGCCTGGAGGAGCTTCACCTGGCTCAGATGTGATTGGTTGTCGAGTTCATCCTGGACCCTGCCTTCAGAGCACCAGCTTTGGACCGTAATAACTCAGGGGCTGGTCAGTCCCTCTCTCATGTCAAAGATGCCAAACACAAACCTGCAACATGCACAAATATGTCCAACATTCAGTATTTTAAGGGCTTGATTATTTGAAAAATACATTTTTGCTCCTTTACAAATTTTTTTTAGTTATGGGTTGATTTGAGCATTGAATGAGCACATTATGTTAGTACGTAATGTTAGTTTTGCACTATGTGACTATTTATTACATTTATAATATTTTAGAGTAGATTTTCGTGATTTTCCCCCACTTTTCGTGGCTCTCCAAAAGCATCATTTTGTGTCACCTTACATCTTTATCATGGGTAGTTACTATTTGAAACATGTACATCAATGTGATAATGTATATCGACATGACAATGTGTCACTATGCATTTTTTCTATTTCAACAAGGTTTTGTTTTTGCAGTCGCAACAATTCCTGCGCAATATAAATAATGAATGCTTACTTGCTTATGCATAAAAATAGTTCTAGTAAAATGCTGTTGGCTCAAAGTAAGACATCAGTTATGAATGTGCAGGACAATTTAAGCAAGTTTACTGATCTTAGATTTCTCTTATGCCCATTTGTAGCATTAGGAAGCCTATTGGTGATGCCTTTATGTGCACTTAATACAGACTACTACATATATTGTTACAGTTAATATGGTTCTTTGCATATTTGTTTACCTAGTTCTATTTAGGATTTTTAAATGTTTCTGTCTTGGTTTATCAGTTTAATATTATAAAATATTTTTGGGTAGATCAGGCCCTAAAATTAAATACATAAATCCTATTTTTCACGTGGCAAGTTTTGGTACGAGCTTAAAACTAGCGAGCGGTTTTATGTTGTACATTTCCTGAGGACAGTTTGCTTATACAGAATGTGAATTTTCTGCCTTGAGCTGCATTTGTTTTCTGTGAAAATCTATACTTTAAAATGAACACATAAATCACAGTATTGGGCAGTGAAAGATTATGCTCAAATAATTGCCAAGCACTGATTGCAAGAAACGGTCTTTACCTGAACAGTAGATGAAGCGTATAAACATGACGTTGTTGTCTGTGTGCTAAAAACATTGACGAATGCTGTACGCCTCGATGTTTAAAGCCAACATTTTTTGTTTTTATTGATCAATGAACTTTTGCTCTGCTGATCTCTACTTTTATATTGTTGTTGATTTGAAGCAACAACAAAAAAAGAGTGAATTTTATAACCATTTGAACCTTGTGAACTAATAAAGCTATGAATTAACAAATTAATTCCTAATGCCTCTGCAGTAATTCTCTCGAGATAATAATGGTGATAATAATTCTCTCTGATTTGGATTTAAAAAAAAATCTCTGTAGTGCAGGATAGGGCATCAATATCTCTTTGTCTTTTGGTCCAAGACTATTATTTTAAATGTGTATCTGGTAAAGGTTAATTTTGTCAGCTTTTATGAATACACTAGCATATAGATGAATTTAAAACTAATAAACATGAATTCAAAAAACGATTTTTTTATTTTTAGGAAATGTGCAGTGTGTGTATTATGCAACTGACGAAAATGCCTATGTTTAAATTTGCTAAGGCAACAACACTACATGACTAAGCAGTATGTTATTTTTCAGCTTTTACTTGTCATAATCATCCCTGATACTATACTGACACATTCCTGTGAGGTATCTGAAAAAAACGGTATAAGGTGTGGACATGTGAATGTTGATCCGCCCTGTTCATTATAATCATTGCTGTCGTGTGCCTCTAAACATGTTTTATCAACACGGTGATCTCTCTGAGCATCTATGTAGTGTTTCTCAAGAGAGGCGGCTAACGTAATTGCATCATATCTGGATTATAATTAAATAATTTATAGAAAAAATATTTGCATAATTTATAACTATGTAAGTAAGTATACCTAATTATGCTGAATCATGAGTGAGTCAGGTTATCTGTGTAGTATTTAACAGCAATAAATTATAACCATTCACAGACGTTTATTTATTTATTTTTGATCGTGCTCCATTAAAAAACATAAAAAGCATAGAGCATTAAATGTATCCATCTGCAGTGCAGGAGCCTGAGGGTTAAGATCAGTGTGTCCTAATCCATTTAGAGCAAATCCAAATCTCCTTTCCTTAATCTTCTCAAATCAACAGGTGCCAAAATACATCTGTCTGGCATCAACTGCTAGAGCATTCGGTAACTGTCGACTTAAATTTTTTACCCTGTTTAAACATCTTATACGAGTATAAGGGTTTTTGTGCCCAAATAGATTATTTCCTTTTAAAATAATTCGATAAATTCATGACATATCACTTTATCCTATTTAGTTTGAATTCATTTTTAGTACATTTAAATAATACATATTATGTTTTATCTTAAACCCCTAAATGTCATGTGGTGCAACTGTCCGAACAAATGAACAGACTAATAAAACTTTTTAAAATTGTTGTCTTATGGTGTCTGTAATGGTGTCTTAATATGGTGTCTTAATAATAAAAAATTCAAAACTAAATACTATTGCATCATTTTAGGTTTGAAACGTTTCATATAAACACATTTTATAAATCTCAGAACGTAGTTTTAAAGCTGTTGAGATAATTGAAAAACTTTTGTCCAGCAATTTGTATATTCTCAAATGTCAGGGTGGCACAGCTGCAAACATGGCTCTTTTATTACGAATTCACAAGGTAATAACAGTAAGCATGATAATGCATCATCCAGAGGAGCCCAACTGATCCTTGTGGCAGAGTGAAAAGGTTAGATCTCTCTCAAATACTGGTAAAAACTGAACTTTCCATGTCATGTGGTAAAACTATAGTATATACCAGAGGTGGGAGTAAGTCACTAAATTCAAGTCTCAAGTCAAGTCCAAGTCTTAACATTGCAAGTCATAGTCAAGTCAAGTCATTCTGTTGTACGGGTCAAGTCATACTCTTTGTCAAGTCAAGTCAAGTCGCAACTTAGTCATCAAGTCATACCAAGTCGCACACAGGCTAGTTTTACTATTTTTTTAACTCTGGGACTTTTATTACTTATTTAGACACAGAGGGCTGATGGGTTTCAAAAATAAATAAATTAACTTGTGTGTAATAAATAAATTAGCATTAAGAAGCACTTTAAATGCTCTAAAATAAAAATAAATTAAATGAACACAAGTAGCCTAAACAAGAATTAATACAACTTTTCCCATCTTGTAAAAAAAACCTAAAAAGATATTGCATTCTAAATTAGTACTGTATATGACAAAGTTTGTATGTTCTTACTCTAAACATCCAGGTGATTTGATCCCATAACACAAAATATTATATGGAAATTTTAAGAAAACAAATCTAATAATTTAAATGATTTAAACCCGACTATTTTTTAATACGTGGGTCGTTATAACTGACGTTCTCAACTACTTTCTTTATTAGGCTACTTTCTCCCGCCCGCAACATTTATGTTTTGTCCCGCTCCCGCCCGCAAAAATACTTTTTTTCTGTAGCCTACCTCCAAATACTTTTAAGTTAGCCTACGTGTCGCCACCATACACATGAGCATAAATGCTCCTGTCCTGATAAATTATTTGTTATTAAAGCATTAACACACAAACCACTGTTAGACATAAAAGCAAGCAGCTCCTGCGTGCATGGTCTGGCATGACTGCGCGCCCTAATTCCTAAAAAGCTGACATCAGTTCATCGCGATCTCACACATCTCTGTTGTTATCAATGAAGCTTTCATAATATATACACTTTGTTTGTTATAATTCGAGGATTTGCCAGCATACAGAATTCAGCACTGAACAAAAAGTCCGTTTTGAGCGGTGAGGGAAGTCTATCGTAAATGCTTCTGATTGGCCTGTTGCGTTCCTAGAAATCAACACATATGTCTGTGATTGGCTACATTGCTCATCGCTGCAAACACGTTAGAAAACATCTGGCCTGTAAATCGTTTCTATTTTGTTTTAGTTGTTCTTATTGCTTTTCTGCAACAGATGAATAAAAATTTATTAGTTTTTATGTTTTATTCATAGATATTTCTAGTTTGCGGGAGTCCCGCGAATCGTTTTATTCTCCCTCAACCCGCACACACAGAGTGAGTGCATTACCGCCCGCGCTCCCTCTTATGACGAATAAAAAATACACAATAATTTATTTATTTTATTTTTTCACAAGTCATTTCAAGTAAATAGGCACAAGTCCGAGTCAAGTCTAAAGTCACAAGGAGCAAGTCTAAAGTCAAGTCGAGTCTTTTCAGCGATCTAGTCAAGTAAGTCTCAAGTCCAGAAAATTGCGACTCGAGTCAAGTCATTATGACTCGAGTCTCCCACCTCTGGTATATACAACTACATTTGGTTGTACTGCCTGACATAAAAACAGTAATAAAACAATTTAAAAAAGGATTTAAACCCTTTGCAATGTCATTTAACAACTGAAACTTGTTTAAACATTGTTCATGACTCACAAATAAGCATGTCAGTTTTGAAAATATTTTTTTTTTTAACACCTTTTTTGAAGCTTTGTTTGTAAATGCCCATAAACTTTATTAGCTTATTTTAAGCTAATTTCAGCAACTTTCTGTTGGTCTTTAGTAGATAATGATTTCTGTCAGTAATTTTCTTGCGCAATCGGATGATGCTTGTCTTAGCAACCCAAATAAATACCCAGGCAACAAAAACATTACTAACGTTTTTATTAAGTTATGAAAACATTGTTTCTGAATGTTCTTAGATTTATTTATTTTATTTTTTTTGATATGCGAACGTTAAGAGAACATTCCATTTTCTCATTTTACAAACATTTCTGGAATGTTACTTTTAAATGTTCTCTGTCTGAACATTCTGAAAAAAATGTTAGACAAACATCCATCTAAAACGTTTCAGAACGTTTTGTGCTAATATTTTGAGAACATAATTGAGGACCGAAACACAAACTGTTAAGACTATTCTTAAAAGTTAGACAAAAAAATAAAAAATTTAAGACCCTTCATTACTTTTTTAATCAGTTACAAACGTAGATTGGCATAATTTGATACTATAAAGTAAGACTGAATGCCCCTTGACTGCTTGTGTCCAGTCTCAAGTCTGTCTTAACATGGCTATGTTTATTCAACTGATAATTTTGAATAAACATTCTATTAAAGAAAGTTTTTTTAATAACATTGAAAGAACCTGTTATGGTATAGCCTATAGTATTTGCGAACCATCTATCCTAAATATTTAGTCAAAAAATTTGATAGATCTGTAGTAAATTGCAAGAATGTGCACTCAGTGTTGGGTGTATTTAATTACTAAGTAATCTAATTACTGTAACTTGATTACTTTTCCGTAATTTAATTACAGTTAGCCTACTTCTGATCTAATTGCATTAAATACTGTATAGATAGACTATACAACAATTCTATAAAAAGCAATAGTGGATTTAACATCAAATTTTAATGTTAAAATATATGTTTTAATGTAACTTTCTTCCTTTATGTCACTTGAAGGAAAATTCAGGAAATTGTCTAAATCCAAACACAGTAAACAGGCAGGGGAAACTCAGAAAACAACAACTTAACAGAGACACGACAAGACAAAGAACTGAACAAAACAGGGAGTACTTATACCAGAACTAAACGAGGGAACTAATGAGTTAATTAATGAGCAACAGGTGAATTGAATGAAAATGACAACTAGAAACTTGGTCAAGACAGGAACAAACACAATGCAACAAAACATACTCCTGACACTTTACACAATTTGGTCAGTTCAAGAATAATTTATGCAATTGTTCATTTGAAAAAATCAAAAGTGCAGTTCCATGTCCATCCTTATTATGTTCAACTGTTGGTTATGTCAACAGGTTTATATGGATTTAGAAAGTAATAAGAAATCCAATACTTTTTAGAGTGAATAATTAGTGCAATGATTTAATTACACAGTGTAATAAATTGTAGTCTGCCTCGACCCAGATTCCACTACAAAATATATTTTAGAATGAGCTCATCCCCAAAATGGCTTAATTATCATAGAGATGTAAGAAAGTCAAGTTATATTGTTTCTTCACCATTTGGGTTGATCACATCCTGAACAAATGGTAGTCAATTGTAGAATGGGACTGGGTGTGGGGCACAGAGAACCTTCTCAGACAATGGGGTGTCACAACTTGATAAACATACAGACCACAGCTGTTGCAACAAGAGCAACTTCATTTACATTAAGAGTGGTAAACTGTAACAGGATAAAAGGTTTCAGATTTGGATGTTCTGGGTTCATTCTGACGCCGGTGAACCCAAGGTGCTTCGTGTACCTTGCCACTGCTATGCTGTAATAAACTTTATTTTTGAGATCTTCGACGTCCACATACTTTTTTCTTACAACTGTTAAAGATCGAATTAGTAGCTATAATTAATTCCTGGTTTAGAGTAACTAACCCTACACTATACATTTCAATATACAAACGGCCATCGAGAGGGTGTTGCTTTGGTTAGCTCCTCATACATTTAGTGCAAATTATCTAACATTCATGGTTACTAAAGCATTTGAAAAGGCTGTTAAACGTAAACATGCCTATATGGGGAAAACATACTTTTATGATTTTAACCTTTTGTTTTGCTAACGACCTTGTCAGTCGTTGAGTTGTAACAGATATCAAATGTAATTTAGTACTGATTATGTTTTTCCCTGTTAATCCTTGTGAAGAAGTCATTTAGAAAAATGAGAAAAGAGACTTTACATAAACGAATTAGAGGAAAGCAATTTGATGGCAGAGGATTTATTGTGAACTACTAATCATTAACAAGGTCAATGGGAGTCATACGATTCTTGCAGCAACGATTTTCCATGCTTAATTTCCACATTTCTTGTTCATGCTTCAAATATGATACGATAAGGTTTTGTGTTTTAAATTAAGCCAAACATGAAAACTAAATTTGCTAACAACAACAATGGTCTAAAAAACTGATACCATACGCCAGATGAAGTGATGTGAACAGCCAATAACTTATAAGGCATTTCCTCTCAGAGAGCACCTACTGAAATTTTTTTACAAAATATAGAACTAGCACAAATAAAAACAGGTGGTGCCACAGATTGTACCACTGTATTGTATTTTGGTTATGTACAGTAGAAAATAAACAGATTGGAAAGAAATTCCAAATTGTTATTCTGGGCTGTCACCTTTCTATCATCCAAAACATCATAAACCTATTTCCTTCTGCATCTGAATAGCCACTAAATGAATCATGCATTCATAGGCAGGTGGGTTAGCATCTATAACTCAGCTGTTTGCATCAGAGTATAAAGGCAATGGTGTCCATTTGCAGCACCCCTAATTTGGGATCCAGAGGTGGAGCTAGTCTACTAAACAAGTCCAGGTGACACATCTTCCTGTATTCCGTCTCAAATAATACCATACTGGGTGAGCTCGTGCAACTCCAGATGGCTAAACGCTTCCCATGGACACACCACAGTGATGTCTGTGCATGAAAGAAATTGGCAGATGAAGCACAGTGATGAGCCAGACAGTGAGCAAAATCAGTTTGCAAGAGTAATGGGTTTAGCACAACACAACACAGTAATTTGAACACTACAAAAGCAACGTTCCAAAGGCTGTATACTCACCAGTGCCAAGACCCTCCATTCCTGGGATCTCATCACCAAATCTAATGAAAGGAGAGAAGAAATAAATCCCAAAGTTAAGTCTATTTCCTCATGCAATGTTAAAAACAAAGATTCCAAAAGGGAGTTTTCACAGAACCATTTAGTTTTAAAAGAACCATTAATTTTTCTTAGTGTGAAGAACATTTTTAAAATACAAAGAAGCTTTTTACACTGTTAAGAACCTTGAAAAGGAATGAAAAGGTTCTGTGGATGTTAAAGGTTCTTCATGGGACCATAGATGCCCATTAGGAACCTTTATTTTTGAGAGTGGAGAGATCAAGTAGATTTAAATGTTGTATACTCACCCTTTGACTCCCTTCTTGGGAGGTTTGCTTTTGAATTGTCTAGTCATTGTCTGTTTGAATTTAGGGGGTCCTCTTCTGGGTGTTGTTGGTCCTACTCTTGTTGGGATAGGTGAGTCACTGAGACTGTCGCAGCTATTTCCCGAGCTCATCTCGTTTCCAAAAAATCTTATGTGGGCTCTAGTGTTTGACTTCTCGTTCAATGTCAATCTCTCTCCTTGTGGTCGGCTTAAATACACTCAGACTGGTTTGTGTTTGCGTCAATGGGTCAACAACAAAGCCTGACAGATTGGCGCAGTGACACAGCAGCAATCTGTTCCAGGTTAACTCGGGCAAAGGGCCAGGATTACTCCTCGGATTCTGAAAACACAAACTGGCCTTCAATGAGAAATCTTTCTGAATGGACTACTCGCATAGTTAGGTTCACCTGGAGAGTCTATCATGTTAGAGAGAACATATTTTTCATTCATGACATATGCAGAGGAAATGAATGAAAACTAAATCGTAAGGCATGTGCACTCGCAAGCATTCAAGCTGTCAACAACTTTGATATGACATGTTTCAAAGAATCTTCTAAAGATCTTTGCAAAGTGAGTTGCATACAGTAATTTTACTCAAAAATCTAAAATAATTGCAAATATCTCTTATGTCAAAGAACGTCAGCATTGACTTTCCTCAGGAAATAACAAAGTTGAGAATAAACAAACAATGACTTTGTCAAAGTAGCATAAATAGAACCATGACATCTTAATTATTTTTTAATAATAATTTAATTCAACAATTTATTCATTTCTCAAAATTTAAATTAGTAATTATGAAGTTTAATTTACTGTTAAATAAAAAAAATTATCAAGTAGTTATGTTCTATCTATTTATCTATCTATCCAGCCATCCATCGATAGATATCTATCAATACCATAACTTATAATAATTAATTTTGAAATGGGTATTGATGCCCTACAGTATTCAACACTACATTAAAGTGAGAAAGACAACAGTATTATCTACACTTCATATGGCACAGGGTTGCTGACGTTAAGTGTGGCGTAAGCTATATGTTAAAAGACTAATGTACTTCAGGTTAAGTCATTGACATTGTGAGTGATGTTGAGCAGTGAGCACCATTAAGAAGATCATGTCACACAGAGACAGACAGATGTCAAATAACTCGGACATGACAGTCATGTGGCTGAGAGCTTTAATACAATTGAGAAAGAACACCTGCTTCTTTCAGAGAAGAGGAATTCAGGCCAACAGGTAAAATATCATCTCATGGAGCCTTTTCCAATTACATATGAACTGATGCAAACTTTTAAAGACATGCAGTTTAAGGAAAAAGAGACCTCAAAGTCCTCCATGTCCAGTTCGCAGCGTGATCTGGGTCTCCTTGTAAGTTGACTTCACTCTGAATTACCCACCATTCCCTGCAGGTAGCTCCTAAAGTGTAGTTCGAAGATCTATAGAGAGCCTTCTGTGTCAATGCCATACAACTGAGAAAGCATAACTTACCTTGGTCTCAAATCAGTACCTGATTGTATCTGTGTTCTTTTTATTTTATGTTAAATATGATTTAAGAGAGAAAGGATTATTAGTAGCAGCCAGCAGCAGACAGTAGCCATACACTTTTATACACACAAACAACGTTTAAAAAAAGATGAATACAGCTGGGGAAATGTAATTCAACTTTTAAACAGAAGAGGGTGGTAAGAATCTTAATAAAAGCAGATGCAATTAACTTGTCTAAGAACAGTGGTTTGCCAGGGGCCTCAAGGAGCCCAAAGCTTACTATAGTATTAAATCTAACTTAATTAAAATGCTGCTTTAAAAACCTTTTAGATCAAGATCTATGGAAACTGACATCATAATCACAGCAGCTGAGATCTAATTCAGACCATTTAATTCAGACCACTGCAAAGTTGGTTTGTGCAGAAAAGATATGAATATTGTATTGGACAATGAGGTACCTTGGAATCCAAAAGACTGAGATCTGCTGGTATTCTTTTATAATCTAGAGGACAAAAACATTAATGACTGATTGATAAAAGCTGTGGCTTGTAGCAACTTCCTCAGCATTCCTTCTCTACACAGAACTCCATTAATCCCTCCTAGGCTATACTCACTGTAATGCAAATCCAGCAATAGCAGGATCTGTCTAACAATTTAAATGCAAAGACTGAAAACAAAAACAACAACAACAACAACTTCAAAACGTTGACAATATCCTATAGGCTATGACCAAATCTTGACTGGAACAAAGTCTAATGCAATAACTGACCAATTTTAACTGTCTAGATTTATTGTGTTATGCTGTATTTACACATTAGGCTATAGGCTACATGTATGTGTATCATAATTTAATAATCGCAAAACTTTACATTTAACATTCAGCTTTTGTAGATATATTGGCATAAGACATGTATTCATTTTGTATTAAATTCAATTCTATTCAAAGCAAATTGTGTTAAAGTTACATTTAACGTTATGTGACTCACTACAGACTCACTAACTCACTACAGAGTACAGAGAAAAAGCGCAGCTGTTTGCAGCAGGTATTGTTTTACAGAAACGTCGAAAATCCTGTCGAGGAATTTAAAGACATGTTGAGACAAATATGCCATATAGCCTATTTGAGCAGATGAGTTTGAGTACGGCATCTTTAGGAGCTCATATTGTGGCGCAGAGACGCTGCACACTGGAATGTGCAGATTGACACTGCTTTCTTCATTTTAAAGAGTTCCTCCTCTGTCATTAATATATTGCTATTAATAGCCTACGGAACATTGTACATCGGAATTTTAAAGAAAAGTTTGATAAATCTGTTTGATTACACAATATCAGATTCACAAAGCTAACGTTGCAGTAGGCTAGGTTGCTTTGCAGCACGTGCAACAACAGAGATTTGTCACGCTCACGCTTGTGATACTTTTTCGACATTTTACATACTTTTGCCATTTCTAGCAATGGGATATTATTTTGCAAGTAGCTACAAACATATAGCGATATTTACAAACCCGTAAAATAATTTTAAGTACTGGGCTGGTGTTTCTCTTAACAGCTGTGTGTTAGTGTGAGGCGTAGAGTTGTGATTGGCAAACTCTATTTCCTGGTACGCACATGATCTGAACACTCTTGAACATCCGCATCTACAGTTCTGCAAGACGAGACAAGGCGGTAAGACACTTTTACTGTATTACTTTACTATCTAACTTTGTTTTCAATGTTTAGAACCGTTTTGTTTCGCTGTAGAAATTATTCAAAGATGTTTAGCCTACAATGCAAACAAAATTCATACCGATATTTTAAAGCTGGCTGCTAAAAAGAAATAAACTTTTCTTTTTTTCTTTCTTTTTTTTGGATGTAATGATTATATAGGTGATCTTTGTGATTTTCATTTTCTGAGTGACATTCTGAAATGGGAACACTGTCTTGAACTGTAGGAGGTTGGGAGTAACTTGCCGATTTAAACTTTACTCTCAAGATTTCAATTCACACAGTTTAGATTTATATGATTTAACTTCATTTTGACAGGAATGTGTGCTACTGAATGATATTAATATCTGGCTATGATGATACCTTTGTGCATTAATAATCTCACATACCATAGTATTAGCCCCTGCCCCCATCCTCTAACTTTCGATGTACTTTTTTGGTAAAGTCGTATGCAACCACATCCTCTTCTAACGTAAGACCAAACTGAGATCCTGTTCTGACTGGCTCCTGTGTCCTCTATAATACACCACAGAGACCTTTCTGCCATCCTTTATCACTTTATAAGTATGAATATTAAAAATGAGCAGAATGAGCAAATCATCAGACTTTTATATGTTATGTGAGAGATAATGTGTCAAATGCACATTATACATATCCAAGGTGTATTGCTATTTTATTGCAGCCTCTGGGGAATTCAGATGTGATTTGCTTTACTTTTGAAAGTTCATTTTGCATTGCCATGGTTTAAGGGGCTGTAAAATGATTGGAAAATTATTGCGATGCCTTTTAGCCTCATATTGATGAGTGTAGTAGATGACATACGTCAAGTTGCATCACTGAGCTGATAAATAGCCCATAAAAGCTAGCGTGGAAATGATTTTCGAAGATATTATATTTTTCGTTCTATCTGAACAGCTAGCCTAACTCGTTTTTTTCCACACAAATAAACAAGTGTAGCCACTGGAGAAGCAGCCAAAAATATCACAATGCCTGACAAATCCGTAAAGAGGAAGCTGTCTATATTAACTGGCAGACCTCGATAAACAAGATCTCTGTCTATTGATCAAGACACCCCTTTCACTTCCTTCTTGAGGTGTTTGTTGTTCAGGCCTAGGCTTCCGCAGAACTTCCTGAGCTAGTGGAACAGATCTGAATTGCAAGTGAATGAGATTCAGGACAAGCCACAAGAGGAACCATTCAGAAGTGTTTAAATTAATTTAACTTTGTTGAGCAAAGTTAGATCCAATTTGTGAGCACATTCAGATAATAGATGACAAGCTCCATTTGAAAAGAATACCAGTGATGTAGACCAACTGGTTGAAATTAGAAGCTTGCTCTTGTTACTTCCTGTTTGTGCAACACTTTCCAGTCATGCAGATCATAAGTGAAGAGAGATTGTTTTGTCGAAAGTCTGCATGCATGACTTTGTCGTCTTGTATGATTTTTTGTTAGTTTTTTTTTCTCCTAGTAAGTTAAAGGGATAGTTCACCCCAAAATGAAAATTCTGTCAGTAATTACTCACCCTCATGTTGTTCCATCCAACCCCGTAAGACTTTCGTTCATCTTCGGAACTCAAATTAAGATATTTTTGATTAAAGGAACCTTATCTAAGATTGTGGCCAAAACTGGTACTGCAATCACTTTCAAATTACTGTAGAGCGGTGTATCCCCTCCCCCTCCCCCTGACTCGAGGTTGCCTGATAGGCCGCAGAATCCAGTAGGATTCTTCTCCGTTTTCAGCCGTCTCCATCTTTCAAAGGCATCTCCTATACAAATCCTTGTTTTATTTTGGACTTTGTCACAAAGTATTTCGGAATCATAACAAGGTTTTTTTGGATTCGTAACATTAGACAGTTTTTTATCCGACACGTTTATAGCTGCAGCTGTGGTAACTACAGCAGAGCTGGCAACCCTGATGCCGCAACACTACTGACTTTGTTATTGGTAGATAGGTGGAGGGTGGCACATCAGACCAAAACAACATGACAACATCAACATCAGTTGAGGGCTGCAACTTCACTTTTTAAATGACAATATCCTGGCCAGACTACTGTTGTCAGTGATATAAGTATTTGAAATGAACATGATTTCTTAATGTCTAGTGACATATCAGGGCCATTTTATGATTAACCCTCTGGGGACTAAGCCCTTTTTGGTCCGTTTTCTCTATTTTTACATTTGGGCTTATATACCATATGTAATGGAGATGGAACTTTATGTGTTTGGTATCTATGGATTCAGAAGACCCTAAGCTAACATAATCATGCATGCAATGTGTTTATAAAGGAAGTATGAGTGAAAAATGTACTATAAACTAGAGAATTTCAAAAACGGAAATTAGATTTTTGTCATTTATTTCTGAAAATCACACATCACACAACAATAGTGAACAGTTTTTGAACAAAAAATATATTTGTCAAACCCTTTGCTTGACAGACATGTGTAATTGTTAAATAAAATGTGTAAAGAACAATGAAAAATGTAACTTTATTTACAAATAGTCCTAGGCGTTTTTCTTAGGAATGCTTAGAATTTTCTAATCAATGCGATCTCGTCGTCACTCTCCAGTAATTGTTCCAGAGCTTGTTCCACCGTAAATCTTTACTGCTTGCCATCATAAAAGTGCTAAAACAATAAATAATGCTATAATTGTATGTGTGTATATATATATATATATATTATAATTGTTCTGTCTATCTCTAATAAATCTCTGATAATCCGCTCCGTAAACCCTAGTTTGCTCTCCCTCCTTCTCTCCATTCAACGCTGTTTGCGTCATATCCCTAACTATATAGTACCACCCCTTGCAAGGCTACAGAGTCCTCTGATTTGCTAGAAACGTCTTGGTAACCTTCCTCTGATTGGGTAAGAAAAATATTTCTCCATCAGCAATTTTTCCATTGGTTGCTGTTCGCGCAATCTGCCAAACAACATCGATTTCATTGGCCTTTTACATAGTGGTATTGCGCAACAAGGAAGTGTGTATATTTACAAGCCGGGTGAGTTATCACTGTTTTCAGCGGAATCTGAGGAAGACGGTAAAAAAGACCGCACCTCTCTATCACTAATAGTTTTTAAGATAATTACACATTTGTAAAAGTATGCCATTTTGGGCGGTACCGCCCAATCCGTCCCCAGAGGGTTAATTGAAAAACATTTCTTACATACGGTTCCTTTAAATCTGAGAGCTGGATCACTCCTCCATAGGCTTCTAAGGGATCGAAACTGGCAGGCCCAGAAAAGTTAAAGACATCGTTCAAATAGTCCAAGTGACTACAGTGGCTCTATCTTTAAGTTTATCAAGCGACGAGAATACTTTTTGTGCGCAAAAAACAAACAAAAATAACGACTTTATTCAACTATTCATTTCCTACTCTGTGGGCCTCGAGATTCCACGTAGTGTAACTGCGCAAAGCTTCTAGGTTGTGCGGTTATTTTTATTTTTTTGCGCACAAAAAGTATTCTCGTCACTTGATAAACTTAAAGATAGAGCCGCTGTAGTCACTTGGACTATTTGAACGATGTCTTTAACTTTTGTGGGCCGTCAAGTTTCGATCCTTTAGAAGCCTATGGAGGAGTGATCCAGCTCTCAGATTTAACCCTTTCACACGTAAGTTTAAAATATTCTAACTGACCCCCCAGCGTGAGTTTTTCAAGGCGACCGTTATTTAGAACCTGTCACTTTAATGTTTCCATGGTGACGCGTCATTTCTTGTCACGTGACACAGCGCAATCACAACACAGAGCTGAATGAGTGATGATCTGATTTTATGTCTTTTTTCCTTTTCTATTCAAAATATTCACAATTGTATTAGCTATAGCATGAAACACTGATATTTCCGATTGTCAAATATGTGCAAGTGGATGTGTTTTGTTGTTTAAACATCTTTATAACGATTGCGTTAGTTGAGCTGTATGCGCGATGGGCGGCGCCATGTTAGTTTGTTTCACAGTTCAGAGAATCGGATCTGTTGTTTCTCACGAAATACATGAAAGTAAGTGGCCGGTGAACTAGGAGAAGAATAGGGTAAAATGTAAAGCTACTTACACAATGTGTATCTGATATGAATAAAACGTTTCATCTTATTATAATGGAAATGATTATTGTTGCTGTTTCCATAGACATCAGTGTCTATTTTACTAATTGAAAATCACTGTTTTGCTAGTACTTAAATGTATTTAAATGTCTGAAACCGAAAATAAACATTATGTGGTTTAAAATACTCAATAGTTGTGATTATGACAGCACTGAGTGCGTCCGTCTCTGGCTCAGCGCCAGCCAACGCTCGAAAGCACGTTTGAATTTAGCAGTTGATCACGTGATGCACTGACCGTTCTAATCACACCGGTGTGATCGTACGCGTGAAAGGGTTAATCAAAAATATCTTAATTTGTGTTCCGAAGATGAACGAAAGTCTTACAGGGTTGGAACAACATGAGGGTGAGTAATTAATTACTGACAGAATTTTCATTTTGGGGTGAACTAACCCATTAAAGCAGCCCCCTCAAGAGTTTTTTGATATCTTGACAGAAGTAGTCATTGGAAATCACAGGCTTCCAGATACCAGCAGCAGTCTTGTGCTTTCAGTGTAGGGCAGTTTGATAGATCTGTTATATAATTTGTCAAATTCCTTTTCATAGCTGCTTGATTTTAACAACTGTCAGTCAGTCTGAACTCGAATCCCAGATTGGGCTGGCTGACCACAATGTGAAGCCTACTCTGTTGGATAGAATAACCATAAATGAGATCTCTTTCATTTCTCAATTCTTTCTTCTAGACAGGAATCAGTTTACATGGAGAGCAATTTGAGACTTAAATTAGCGGCATTAGTGGCAATTCGGGGGCGGCAGTTGCTTGAATGCAAAATATTGCCAAATAGGCGTTTTTACATTCCGCTTTCAAACCAAATCTTCCGCCATTGTCTTGTCAGTCAGCTCGCCTCACTCTTCTTGTGAGTCAGCTTGCCTCACTCGTCACGTGATATATAAAATTGGACTCCTGCTGCTGATCTGTGCTGTGACTTTCGCTTGGCACACGCTGAATTGAGCAGACAGTTTTTAAGTGTGGTGTCTGTTCTCTAACTGAACTAAAATAATTTTATTACTATAAAAAATCAAAACGACAGTGGGTTGGGTGGTGCCGTGGTGGGCAAGTGATGTAATCGGTGTGCGGCTGATCACGTGTAACACCGACTATTGCAGCAAGCCTACTGGATGGTTGTGGTGACCGTTTGTCCCGCCCTCGCACCAGTAAGCACTTCATCAGAGAAGAGGTGTCAATGCAAGAGGGAGGGGAAGTTTTTGATTCGATTATGAGGGCAATTTTAAAAAAAATGTCCATGGATAAATATAATTTATAATAAATACTGCAATATTCCATAAAAAAAGAGAATAATCAATTTTGAATTCATGGTGAAGTTCCCCCTGCTTCTTTTCTCCTGAGATAAAACCCCCTGTAATCGGACATGTGTCTCTGCAAGTTTGGAGTCACATATCTTAGATTTGTCAAAATACATTTTCAATCAACAGTCAGAGATTTTAATATGAAAGCAAACATTTCTCATTAAATTCTTCTAATTATAAGGGTGGTATTAGTTAATAAAGCTAAAATTCATGATTTTTTAAAAATAACTTTAATTAGTTGAATGCTGTAGTTACCAGACGTTTGTTATATTTTTTTCTTTTGCACTGGCACTTCAGTCTCACTTCAGTCTCACTTCATCTGCTCCCTTGACATGTCAATCTGCACGTCTAATTTTCTTTTGGCTCTGCACGAGAATGAATAATTAACTTCTATGATTATGATACTTGTAAGTACATATAATGTCACCTTTGTGCTAAGTAAACCTAATTTATAAAATGGATAGACTCTAAATTCTGATTGGATTGGATGAGCCACATTCATAGCCGTTTTGCATGACCATCGTGACTTATTGCATCATTATACTAAATATAAATACTACTTCAGATGCGATCCAATGTGTCTTTACCTAGTTTACACATCAGATCATGAGCTGTGTGTGCCATAGCTTTGCACCAGACATGCAGTGAGATGCCGTAATTGGTCGGCGCACATAAACCAATGTCCTTACAAGTCTCTTGAAAAAGGCTTTGGCATTGCAGCACCCCTTAGCAAGATGCTACCAACGACAGAGCATCAAGGCCGTGTGAAATGCAGAGGCACGCCCAGTGTAACCTCCGACAGGTTCCTCTGACAGGACCATGACCCCTGAGAGAGATGACTGAACGACGTGCTGGAGAACTACAAACTAATAGAAAGTCACCGTTGACCAGAGGGGAAAAAACAGTCTGCCCAGCATGTTGCCCCTGAGAGAGAGAGAGAGAGAGAGAGAGAGAGAGAGAGAGGGAGATAAATGGGGAAACAATATGATAGTTGATATAAAATGGGGGATGGTAAGAATAATAAGTGTCTCTAGAGAGCAGAAATGTGAAGACAGAGAAATAGAACAGGGAATAAAGAGAACGGAGGAGAAAGGATACTGTGTGTGTGTGTGTGAGAGAGAGAGAGAGAGAAAGAGGATGAGATCATCGCAGTCTCCTGTCTAATGAGTGATGGGGTTGGGAGGCGTGCTGAACTGAGGCGGAGGGTTTGCTTCTCATGCCGGTGGAATCAATAGCGTCTGCAGACCGGAATACCTTTCCCACATTACCGCCTCATTGCCAACACTTCAGCCACAGCCGGTCTTCCAGCACGGATTACACACAGATCATTTGTGCATTCGTTCACTCCCTTACTTTCTTTCTCTGTCTCTTACATACTGTCTCTCTACTATCGCTCCCTCTCTCGCTCTCTCTCGAGCCAACCCACACCCAGTGATTCTCTATCTTGGGTTTTTTGTGGCGGTAGAAGGGATGCTGCTGTGAATTATTTTTAATTTTATGGGTTTTAGACACAGAATTTTCTGTATCACGGGAGGTGTGCTTTCTTGATTCTTTTCCTGATTTTTTTGGGGGGAAACCTTGTGGAAAAGAGCTTACTCACAATGTTGGGCTTGGATGTTTGTGAATTTGGTGGACAGTTTCTTGAACTGCTCTGGTTAACAGTTTGCTACAGAGGTGAGGATGCATTTATGTTGTCTATTGTGAGATAAAAATGTTGAAAAGGTGGAAAGAATGTACTAAAATTAACTTGAATGTATGCAGTTTAAATGCTCTTCAAACTCCACAGAAAGACCTCAGATGATCTGCCAATCTAATAGACCAGCCCTAAACCTTCACCTGAAGTAGTTTAAAGCTTATTGTGAATGGCGTTAATAAGTTTCAATGTATCCTAAAACCTATTTGCATTTCAAAAAGATTTTTTAAAAGTCATACTGAATGGCCATTTTGTGTGACGACTTCCTTTGTGGAAATAGACATTTTTATAGTTGGCATGTGATGCAGTTAAAACAAGTGAAGGTGGATTGATCAATATGTATTGATCGATCGGTTGTTGCTCTCACAACATTGCTTTGTGTGTGTGATCATCATGTTGCTTGTAATTACATGACACCGATGTTGTTGATTCAGGGCTTCACTCTGCAGAGCTTCTGCTTACTGACACCAATCCAGTGTTCCTCACTCCCACTTTACCTCTTTATCTGTCTTCCACTCTCTTAGTGTCTCCATTCACTTTGAAATCTTGGAAGTAAGGATGTATGACAAATGAACACCTGCCTTTATGTGTAAAGTGGAGAGTAAATGTACATATATATGTGTGTGTGGGATGGGTTACATTGACATTGTTATCTCAGATTCCTATACAGTATGTGGCTTCTCCATTAGCATTCCTATTAATCTCAATGGCAGTTGGTTAGATGACGCGGAGCCCCCTGGAAGTATGTGATTTTGCTCACGGGTGTTCAGTTTTGCAGGTGTTTTGAGGCAGATATCTTACTAATCACTCTAGAGACTGGAAAAATATAAAGTCAATTTAACTTAAATTTAAGTACCCCCAAAAACAAATCTGCCACTGGTAAAACATTTACTATAATATTATTAAATATAAATTATAATTTTTTTGCTACCGTACGCATATGGTGTAGTTACAACATGTACCAACAGGGGCGAATGAAGCTATGCTAACCAGCTAATCCCAACCTGATCTCATGAGAAAGTGTTTTACAAAGTTGGAATTGCGTACAAATTTGTATGATGTGAAAAGGAAGCATGAACTTGCACCCCTAAACCTAGCTCTCAGTGGGGCATTAGCAGGTTGTATGAAAACGTATAAATGAATCATTCCAGTTTAGCAAAATGTAAAATAATTACGATTTGTCACAAGACTGTTGTATAAAACTTGATGCCTTTTATCTGACTCAAATCCATTTAATTTTTTTGTAGTCTGAATGTCAGAATAGCTCATGAAATCATATTAAATCCATATGTGCTTTGAAATTTGATCAAAATCTGATATTTTGGAATGTGCCTTAGCCTGTTATTGATACACCGGACATTGGCTCTGTCCCAGATGGCACACTTCATATGCACTTACGGTCTTGTAGACTTACAATGGCCGCTGTGTGCACGTAATCATGAAGTCCATGAGACCGTAGGGTATCCCATTTGTCATTTTAAGTTTCAGAGGGGTGCTTTGCGGGCGATATGTGCCCTTGATGCGCACTTTTGCCTGAAGCGAGATCCACAGCAGACTTCTACCTGACAGTCAAAACGGCGTTCCATCGCGAAGGTGCAAACTCATAGGAAGATTGCGAGTGTTCAGGGTGCCATTTAGGGCAGGGCATTTGACAGCACTGATTTGTGTGCAGTGTGAACAAAGCCAGAGTAGTTTGAGGCAGGGTGATTCCAGTGGAATCAATGGTGTTTAGAGAAGGCCCACAAAAGCGGGCTCCAAGGGACGGACCGGTGCACGGGTTTCTCAGCTCTCTCTCTGCCTGACTGCAGAGGTGCTGACACGCTAAGACCCCCTGTGGCCCAGCAGAGCTGCATCACCACTCAAGCCTCAGCTGCTGCTGCGTTGTGATGGATGGCTGCATGTCAGAGACCTGACACATGTTTAAAGGAGTAAATCAATTAGATTGCATGTAGGAGAAACATAGATTTCAAAAAGCTGATGTGTTTGTGCTCCCTGTAGGAAAAGGCCATATGAATGAGAAGGATCACATGCATCATTGCACTACATGCAGTCAGGTGTTCAGCTCTGTTTTCACACATTGCAGATGCTGTTTGACTAACAATCCTGAGAATTTCAATGTGTCATTCATCCCCCGACTCTTATGTGTACTAATACTTATTTTAATGTTTTTAAATTTATACTTATTTTTTAAGTTTTTGACTATATTTAGATCTATGTTTTACAGTAGTCTAGTACTGTTTTAGTGTATCTTGTGAGTATTCAATCTGTGTTCAGCCATATTCTAGATTAGAATACATGTATTCCTGCTGCATTGTTTCAGTATATTACAGCCAAACCCTTCTGTGATGGTGTCAAATGGCTTGCAGCGTTCTGTCTCTAAAACAGTTGAATTGTGCAGATTTCCGGCCTGCTGTGGTTTGTGTTTGTCACTTACTTAAAGGATCAGAGTTTACTGATATGAATCAGTCTCAACTCTGCTCTCAGTTTGATTAGCAGAGACTTTGACGTTGAGAAAGTGGAGGATGTGAGGGTTGCAGAACAGTTAAATTAAAAGTGTTAGGGGCCGGGGCGGGGAGTAAGTCACAGTAGCTGCTGAATTGGCTTTCATTTTAGAGCAAACTGAGCTCATAAGTGCAGGCAAGATATTCAGATTTTTTTTTTTACTGTAACACACCATACTTTGAAACATAAATGAATAAACAACAGAGCCACTAGCTATGTTTCCATCTAAAGCTGCGAATTTAACTTTTGCTCAAAATTGTACAATCGCATAAAACATTTGCAAATAAAGCAGCATTTCCATCCCATGTGTTCAAGAGAACAAAATCGTCACTTTATGGGAATTTGGCGCAAAATATCTGTAATAAAAATGGAAGTTTCTGCAATCGGGGAAGGAACTATGTAACCCCCCCCCCCCCCATCGTAAATGTATTGTGTTTCAGAGGACACAGACGAAATGCAAAAAAAAATCTTTTATGTTATCTTGCGTTCCGATGCCTGGTGTTTGAGAACGCAATGGTGTGAGACGGTTCTGGGTGGTCCTTATACCAAATAATTTTGATGACAGACTTTAGCTTAGGCATTTTAGAATGATTAAACCAACATTTGAGATGCTGTGCAATGAAATTGGTCTGCTGGTTAGTCCAGTTATCCAATCACATCCACTGTTGAGGCAGTCACATGAGTTTTTTGTTGCGCATCGAGGGATTTATTTGGTAAATGTGTTCCCATCATGGTTTATGCGCATGTCTTCTTATAGGATAAAAAATGTATCCTCCTTAATTGAGCGCGTAAGGTTTTTATGCACATTTTTTTAATTTATGCACATCGTTGCGTTTCCATCCAGCGTTTAATTTTTTTATGTGATATCCATAAATACTCATAAAAATATGTGGATGGAGACATAGCCTAGCTAGTGTTCCTATGGTTATTTTTAGGCATTTTTAGGGGCTGTTTAGTGTTTACACAACACCTTTATCAACCAAAAACGGAAAACATTTCATGTGTTTTGAACGTTTATTTACACGTGAAAACGCGATTCAAAGTTCTAGTTTTTGAAAACGATTCCTTTATCGTCTCCGTGTAAACTACAAAAATATGAATTTGTGAAAACGGTGACATCATGCACATGCGTATTACATCTTCAGTCAATAGGCGCATAGTAACATCGCCAACTACTGGCCTGGCAGGATAATACAGCATTTTTAGTCATTTTCGTGGATTCGTATGAACAGAGAGCGTTTGAACAAGGTTGTCATCTGTACGCGAAAAACGCAATGGAAAAACGTTTCCGTTTTTAGTACATTGTTGTCGCATAAACTTTGACCCTAATGGTTTCATCGCCCTTTGCAGGGTTCTTAAATCATTGTTAGAAGAGTGAGGTTTGAATGAACTTGAGAAACTCTCGTGGGCCTTCCATTCATCTGCTGAAGGTCCACTAAATATTTGGGTGTACAGCTGTTGTGTGAGTTGAATATGAGAGACTGCAGTTTGTTAGCACTGTTTGCTTGTTCACTCCACCTCATTAGCTGTGCACTGAAACCTGCAACGCGCCATCAGATGAAAACCAGCATGCTATCCATCACAATGTAGCCAGGCATTTAACTGCTTCTACTGATCAAAGCGGGTCAAAGCATGTTGCCTTTGAAGCTCGAGATGCTGCGGCACACATATTTTACTCAGAAATTATATCTCCGAAGGGCGGGGGAAGGCAATTAAAAAAGCTTGTCAGATTCTTCACAGTATTATTATTGCTATTTAACACAGCTGAGCAAGGGTAATTACTGTCATTCTTCTCTTTGCTAATAAAAATTACCTCTCACTAGTGGCCACTGCGAGAATGGCAGCATGTCTCCAGTGTTCTTTACAGAAATGCTTGTCAATTGGGGGGTCGTAATACAAACATGGTGCTGGTCCAAGTTTTTGAAAAGGATACCCTTATCGTCTCCGTGTAAACTACAAAAACGTGAATTTGTGACAACAGTGACATCATGCGCAGGCCTGGCATGAATAATACAGTGGTTTTAGTTGTTTTCACAGATCCGTGTGAACGGGGAACGTTTGACAAAACGTTGTTCATGGTAATATTAATTAACTTCAGTATCTGATTTTAAGGCCGTTTTTAGTTTATGTTTGTACAGTAAACACTTCAGCGCTTCAATCAGGATGCTGAGATGCAAATCCACTGATTTAAAGGTTTTTTTTATGAGGTGGTTTTTGTTACTTTCACTCTTTGAATTACATTATGAACGATTGTAACTAATTAGCCGTTAGCTTGTGGACATTGGACATCAGCGATGTTTAATGATTTAATGTGGAATATTAATATGTATCTGATCACATTGCAGTTTTGAGATACCATCTTCATTATACAGAAAACATGCCCTGAAATGTATCTATAACTATCATATCCATCACTATATTGTTCATTTTGCTTGTAATTTGCAGTAAGAATCTTGGCTTTGGCTTATGGATATGCTTTAAATTGCCCAATTAGCCCAGTCATTTGTTCAGTGTGACCAGGGTTCCCTATTGTGAATCTCAGCTCAGGGGATTTGATTTGTGTATTCAGTGTGCAAGCTATTTAATTGGTGTGCATTTTTTAGCAATATTTAAGCTGTAATTGCACAGAGATAATGAACTAAATAGCCTTATTATGCACAGGATATTGGTCCAAAGGACACCAGTGTCCAAAATGTGGCCACACTTGAGTAAAATGTTGTAACACTGCAGTCAGTTCAGGCGTTTCCATTTTGCACAAGGATTAGCTGTCGATTCATACACATTTATGCATAGCCAAATTTCCCTTCTCACACTTCATTACCACTTTCATCTGTACACATTCAGATTGTTTATTTCTCTGTAATTAGTAGGTTAATTGGCTCACTTTGTCTTCTGCTGCTGGAGTATGCCATATGTCTCAACTGCATTTTGCACCTGGAAATTACACAAATCGTGCAGCCTCCTAATCTGACCTAAATGTCCTTCCTAAAATTGTCTTCCTGGATAGTGTTTTTTCCCCCACAGGTTCAATTGATGTAGAGATACAGAATTCATTCCCACACTTTCCTACCTTTTTGTGTATGAATGAGTGAGTGAATGGGTGAATGTGAGGCAAATTGTAAAGCGCTTTGGTGGCCATTGGGTCTGTGAAAGCGCTATATAAATGCAGTCCATTTACCATTTACCATTGTTGGAGGAAATTGGCTACCCATTTTCATATACAGCAGCATATGAGTGTCATGGTCTTCAAGCTATCTGATGCAAAAAAAAGATGGTGGTATATTTTTATTAGATGCTATGAGTGAAAATCGCTCTTAGAAAACTAATGGTGTATTAGAGAATGACCCTCAAAACACCCTATTGATCCCATCAGATCAGATTTTATAGCTCGTCCTTCCATTATTGCATTTGCCTTCACATTACAGCACTTACGGTTTTTGTTCTCCTTTCATAAAGGTTCATTGTCTCTCTTGATAATCATTGAGGAGGATGTAAGCATGTTTCCATGGCTGCTGAAGAGCTGGGCTGAACAGCGTGTACATAAAATCAGCCTGGGAAACATATAAACCTGGGTGGGGTATCTCTGTCTTTCTCTTTTTTTAATCCTAAATTGTGTTCGGGAACATCCATCCTCTAAGGAGTTTCACTTGTTCTCCCCCAGACTACTGAAAGCAATGTTGTCATTATTTAGATTTTGTCATTTCCCATGAATTCGGTACACTCTGGTGTCCAGTGACTGTTTTTTTAGGAATAATTTTTATTTTATTTTATTGTTGTGAGGACTACACTCACCTAAAGGATTATTAGGAACACCTGTTCAATTTCTCATTAATGCAATTATCTAATCAACCAATCACATGGCAGTTGCTTCAATGCATTTAGGGGTGTGGTCCTGGTCAAGACAATCTCCTGAACTCCAAACTGAATGTCAGAATGGGAAAGAAAGGAGATTTAAGCAATTTTGAGCGTGGCATGGTTGTTGGTGCCAGACGGGCCGGTCTGAGTATTTCACAATCTGCTCAGTTACTGGGATTTTCACGCACAACCATTTCTATGGTTTACAAAGAATGGTGTGAAAAGGGAAAAACATCCAGTATGCGGCAGTCCTGTGGGCGAAAATGCCTTGTTGATGCTAGAGGTCAGAGGAGAATGGGCCGACTGATTCAAGCTGATAGAAGAGCAACTTTGACTGAAATAACCACTCGTTACAACCGAGGTATGCAGCAAAGCATTTGTGAAGCCACAACACGCACAACCTTGAGGCGGATGGGCTACAACAGCAGAAGACCCCACCGGGTACCACTCATCTCCACTACAAATAGGAAAAAGAGGCTACAATTTGCAAGAGCTCACCAAAATTGGACAGTTGAAGACTGGAAAAATGTTGCCTGGTCTGATGAGTCTCGATTTCTGTTGAGACATTCAGATGGTAGAGTCAGAATTTGGCGTAAACAGAATGAGAACATGGATCCATCATGCCTTGTTACCACTGTGCAGGCTGGTGGTGGTGGTGTAATGGTGTGGGGGATGTTTTCTTGGCACACTTTAGGCCCCTTAGTGCCAATTGGGCATCATTTAAATGCCACGGCCTACCTGAGCATTGTTTCTGACCATGTCCATCCCTTTATGGTCACCATGTACCCATCCTCTGATGGCTACTTCCAGCAGGATAATGCACCATGTCACAAAGCTCGAATCATTTCAAATTGGTTTCTTGAACATGACAATGAGTTCTCTGTACTAAAATGGCCCCCACAGTCACCAGATCTCAACCCAATAGAGCATCTTTGGGATGTGGTGGAACGGGAGCTTCGTGCCCTGGATGTGCATCCCACAAATCTCCATCAACTGCAAGATGCTATCCTATCAATATGGGCCAACATTTCTAAAGAATGTTTTCAGCACCTTGTTGAATCAATGCCACGTAGAATTAAGGCAGTTCTGAAGGCGAAAGGGGGTCCAACACAGTATTAGTATGGTGTTCCTATAATCCCTTAGGTGAGTGTATAAGATATGCTTGCTAAACTATTATCCAATGTAAAATTAATTTAGCATGACAACTAGCTAGTTTTAAACATGAAATGTCTGTACCCACCTTAAAATTATAATTTTTGGTTTTCCCTCAGAAATCTAGAATGTCTCAACTGTATTTAATACATAAGTGCCATTTTAGTAAAAACTATCAGACTTATCTAACAGGGTTGCAAAAACCTAAACCTCAGAAACTGAATAGAAAATAAAACAGCCCATATAATATTGAGTTCCACCTCTTGAGGTTGACAAATTATATTTTCTGAAGGTTACGAGTTTTAGGCCCCATTTTGTACTCTATTTGTAGAAAATGGCAGTATATTTCTATACAACACTTAAACAGCACTGCTTCTCTAGGGGAGTTATGTGGACATTATGATTTAGCTCTCTTAATTCATATGACAAATTGGTGTCCCTAATGTTGGCTTCCTATATGGAGAGCAGTTTTCTGGGTCTTTATTTTCCTCTGTTTCTCTGGGGAGCAATACCTCAGCTGTCTGCTTTCCAGTAATTATTAACTGTTAGGCTGAAACGCAGTGTGTTGGTTTTGACAATGAAAACACAGTTTTCAATGTCTGACAAGTGGCTGAATAAATAAAGGCAATGATGTTTTAACAGATCTGCTACAACCAGACCAGCTTATTATAATTAAACAGCTCTTTTTGCTATATATATTGTCAGACTGTGGGTATTTTGTTAGAAACTGTCTCTCAAATGAGCTGAATAGAAATGGAATTATCAGCGTCGAAGATGAGTGTATTGTTCCGCTACGTGAGGATTACAACAAATGACTCTGAATATTAAAAGAGATAAGTGTTTAAATCTACTGTCTGTAGCAGTGTTAACCCATCTGAATTGGTCTGTGTTTCAAACCTAAAAATGTGCGAGAGGAGGAAAGATAGCAGAAAATACATTCAGTCTGTCTTTTATCAGAGCATTACTCATCTGTGTAGAACAAAGAAATAATCACATTGAACATCACAAACCATGTAGTTTAAGAGGCCATATATTTCACACTAGATTTTTACACTAATACTTACTAGATGCTCCAAATTTGATCGTGACTGGCCTGCTGAAGTCTAGAAATGTGGAGACTGTAAAGTCATTTTTAGTTTTAGTCAGCTTTAATCCAAGTGAGGACAAGCACAGAAATGTTATCATCTCATAACCATTTACTACACCTAAATTCAGAGGGGGAATAATAGGTTGATAAAAATGTTTAAGTCACAACCACAGCCCTCAGTATAAAATCTGAATGATAAATAGAAATGTTTTTTTTATGACCAACAAGTATGTTGATCCAGGTATGTTGTGAAATCATGGTTATTTTGATATCTGTATGTGAATATGTTTATGAATGTTCTTTCAAACGTATTGAGAAGCAACAGAAAAAGATTATCCGGAGCTTAAGACCATGGCTAGACCCATCTTAAACCCCAAATTCCTGTTTTTCTTAGGCATAATGGCTGATAAAGAGAAAGACGTGCCAGTGGTTGAGGACGAAGATGAACCAGATCTGAACTACCAGCCTCCGGCTCAAAAAAGCCTGCAGGAGATCCAGGAACTGGACAAGGATGATGAAAGCCTGAACAAGTACAAGCAAACCCTCCTGGGCTCTGGACCTGTGGTGGCAGGTTAGTGTACCTTCACAAGAAAACGCCTATTGCATGTGCACACCATTTATTAATATTATATTATATTATAATTTATACACTACCATTAAAAAAAAATAATTCTAAATATTCTGTTCATAAAATAATCCAGAAAAAAGGTATGACGGTTTTCTCAAAATATTAAGCAGCACAACTGTTTTCAACATTGATAATAATAAGAAATGTATCAGCTTATCAGAATGATTTCTGAAGGATCATGTGACACTGAAGACTGGAGTAATGATGCTGAAAATACAGCTTAGACATCACAGGAATAAATTACTTAAAATATATTCAAATAGAAAACAGTTATTTTAAATTGTAATAATAGTTTACAATATTTCTGTTTTACTGTATTTTTGATTAAAAAAAATGCAGACTTAGTGAATTTTCTCAATATTTGAAGACATTTTTAGTGGATCACAGTCTCACCAAAAAAACTTCTAAAAATGATTTGAATCTTATTGATATTTTGACCCACATTTATAGATACACACAAATAATAAATTTTGCATAGAATCTCATCTTGTGAAGATTGCATTGTCTTCATGGTTAAAGCTGTAGCTCGGCTCTCCAGGGACGGCTCTCCCTTCTCCTCCTGCTGTTTAGACGGATTCAGATCCCCCGGGGGACTCCAGTCTTGGTTCAAAGACCCCAAACAATATCCTCTTAACTCAGGGAAAGAATGAGAAGGTGGCTATCACTTAGTCTGAAGAGCATAGCTTTGAACTGCTTTGTTGTTTAGAGAAACATGAATTATGATTCCACTCCCTGCATAACGCTGGAAAATTTGCATTTGATGTTCTGTCCCGCTGCATTAATTATAAGATCTGTTATAGTATTTCTCACTCAGTTATTGAGTGAAATAGCTGTAAGAGTGTTTCTTTTCTGTTTCTCTCTATGATGAATTGTGTCTGTGATATTATGATCAAAGCAATCCTAATTTCTTTTGCCACAGGGAAAATCCAAATATACACTTAAAATCCTTACTTGCTGATACAGTGTTCCTAAAGGCATAAAAGGCAGATTAATTTCTTCTTGACTCACAGGACTTTCATTTTCTGTTGAGAATTAATCAACGGCAGTAATTTCTTTTCTTTTTTTTTCTATTCAAAAGCAACTTATGTGCCTAGGGTATTTACCTTGTAAGTCCTCTGATTCATAAATGATCTTTGTTCTGTTGGTTATGGCCAGGTTAATAATAGCCTGTATTCAATATGCTGGGATGCAAACGGCAGCTTGCGCTGGTATTTTATAGCGTTTTATGTTCCAGTATAATGACTGAAAGATCTGCTCACAGTCCTGAGATCATGATGACCAATCAGGGCAAGGCAAAAAAAGTGGATCTTTTGCCTTTTGCCTCTTGAGAACTATGATGCATACCCTTCCTTATGTCCTCATTTCCTATATTGTGTAGGAAATGAAAATTGCAACATAATTCACCCTCATGTCGTTCACAATTTGTACGTTAAAATCGGTACCAGTGTCATTTTAGTACTATTTATGTATTATTATAGTTTTTATTATTATCTTGAATTCTTCTTTATTTTCAGTTTTCATTTTAATTTATAGTAATTTAATTATGTGCTTGTCATTTTTATTATTATTATTTTTAAATATTACTATTTAGTTTTATTTAAATTTTATTTCAGTTTTATTTAGTATTTATTTCCAGTTAGTAATTTTAGTGCTTAAACTAAAACATATTTCAGATAGTTGCTAAAGACACATTTCTAATTTTATTAATCTAACAATAATCAGTACATTATTAAATTCTCCTTTTGTACTACACGGACGAAAAAAATATGGGTCACCACATTTTTGGGGTGAACTATCCCTTTACCCCTTTTCTCTAAAGCTGAAAACACTGGAAATATGAAACGGGTTTGTCCTGACGTTCATTCATTTGCCATTAGATCTTCTCAGATTTAATAGTGGGATTATGCCAGGGTGATCAGTCATGTTTGGTGCTTGCGGTCCCCAGTGCGCAGTTTTGCGAGTGAGCATGCCTGCGGCGGGTGGCAGCACTTGTAGCCATCAGCGGATGATGAACTGTAGTTCCCACTTTTAAAACCAGCCCACCCTGCATCAATAACACTGCATCAATGAGACCCGTCCAACAATTTGTTATTTGCAGTTTTACACCACTAGCTCCCTCTTGGCACTGCAGAAACAATCATTAGTGGAACAGTAGAGTTAAGTGCCTAAATTAAGCTAGTCATCTGCCCTGCATGCTTCATGGGACAACTTCTATAATGTAGGGCCTATGGGAGTTCACATATCACTCTCAGTCTGTATAAACTGCTTTTATGTTGATTGTGCGTGCATGTGTGTGTGTGTGTGTGTGTGTGTGTGTGTGTGTGTGTGTGTGTGTGTGTGTGTGTCCTTTTTTCATGGAGCTTGACAGACATAGTCATAATGCTCTATGGTTGTATGGAAAAGATTCAAAAGTCTCCTTTTGTGTTCCAGTGGAAAAAAATAATAACAGCATGAAGGTTTTGAATGACATGAGGGTGAATAATGACTGAATTTTCATTTTTGGGTGAACTGTTCCTTTAAGGGCTGGGGCAGCCGCAGCTCTATCACTGTTAAATGTGCTGAGACAGCATGCTGGGGTCACTAACCTGCAGTGGCTCTGTGTCCACCTAAACCCTGACAGGCCCGATCTATTTCTGTAATGGCCAGAGCTCCTATGGACACAAGAAACCTGGGAGGGAATGCATGGCGGCTTATAAGCAACAGTGATTGACAAGACTTTAAATACCTCTTTATCTTATAATGAAGGTGATTATGTTTGTGAAAGACAGTGTAGTTCTGTTTCAAAAACCTTCTGAACTGCATTTTAAAGAATTGTTGGCTCTTTCCTGACACAAAGGCTGTTCCAAAGATAGGCAACTTAATTATGCTGTCTTTTAAGATAACTTTTTTTATATCCAAGATGGTGAGAAACATGTATATTATGAACAGATTTTCTTCAGTTCCGAAAGGTATTCATAAAAATAGCTCAGTGTAATTTAAATTGGTCAATTAACAAATATTTGTGTTACTTTTGCTGTATATTTGTATGCTGAGAGTATTATTCCTTAGCAATATGCTAACATCAAACTCTATTGAAATCAATTCTACCCAATATTTGTGTGTTTTTGTTATTTATTTTATGAGTTATTGAAATATCGTCCCATTAGCTGCAACATGTTAATGTCAAACTTAATTGCAATCAGTTTTACTCTGTGTCATTTTTAGCCTATATGTAGTATCATCCTGTTATCTTAGCTACATGCTAACATTAAACTCAATTGAAATAATTTTTACCCAATATTTGTGTGTATTTTTTTTGTAAGTATTTGAAGTATCGTCTCATTAGCTTAGCAACTTGTTAACGTCAAACTCAATCAGCTTTACTCAGTGTGTGTCATTTTTTTATATTTTCATGAGTTATTTGAGAATCGTCTCGTTAGCTTAGCAACTGGCAATCTGTTTCCTGTGAGGAACTTTATTCATGTGGTGCCTATATAGTGTTACCTCAAAGTCACTTACGAGGTTCCATGATCGTTAGTTAGAATTCTAAGTAGGCAGTAGGCATTAAGTCGGCTCACTAGGTTTTGGAACACAGCTTTTTATATTGACGACAGATAAAACAATGGAAGTGAGTGTGAATTGTATGACTGGAGAAACCTGTCTTTCCCAAACCTGAATTGATGATGTTCATCTGCTGATATCTGAGATGATTAATGTGTCTTATTTACACACTGACCGGCCAGTGCGTTGCAGGTGCACATGAAATGCCCATTTCCCCCTCCCCAATTTTACTTTATTTAGTCCAGTCTAAGTATCTTCCCTCTGGGCTGAGACACATGATGAATGTGTGGGTGAATCGGCTTGGAGAATGATACTTCAAATTGTGTGGAAGATGTGTGCTTTTACCTTTTTCTAAGCGATCACACTTAAAGTCCCAATTTTGTGACGGGGAACTTGGTACAGGCAAGCACCACTCACATTTGCTCCAGAACCGTTATTAACCAGCAAATCATTTTGGTCTAAAAGCTTCACTGCATGCTGAGAATATTAAACCCAGTAAACACTGGTTGCCTATTTCTTATTGTTTATGCACTTAGGAAAAAAGGCTATTCTGATGGGTTTATTCTGTAGGTACAGTAGTTTACGAATGCTTCAATAATAAATGTAGAGGAGACATTTTGCTGTTTCTCATCTGTTTCATTTATTGCATTGCAGATCCCACCATTCCTAATGTTCAGGTGACCCGGCTGACTCTGATGTGTGACCAGGCCCCTGGACCAATCACCATGGATCTGACAGGTGAGTCTCACAAGACAAACTAGTCAACAAGTGTAAACATAATCCACTTCATTTAAAATGAGAGCTGTCAGCCGATTCAATATCATTGTATTTATTTAGATTTAATCAGATATACTAATACTTACTGTGACAATCCCTCAAATGGGGTTGTTTTATTTGTTTTACTGTAATACATTATTTTTATTATTTTGCACAGATAATTTTTTTATATGATTAATTGTATTAAAATAATACTACATTGACTTATTTATATACTATTATATTATTTATTAATATTTTCAATTAGCTTTTATTTTTTATATTTTCAGTTTTATTCATTTTTCTATCTAATATTTATATTTTATTATATTTAAGCTTTATTTCAATGAATGAAAATGATTTTTATTAGTTTTAGTTTTATTTAACAATACGATACAATTTACTTTATTGTCCCCTTAGGGTATTTTTCCTTGGGCTTAGTGTATGCTGCATTTCACACAATAAATAAATAAATCGCATGTGTCTCACATAAACAGTCGAATAGTCCAGTTATGTGAGCAATAACAACACTGATAACCCTATTTAAAATCCAAAGCATTCAACTTATATATTTTTTGTGTGATTAGTATCGGTACGATAACAGTTATGTGGGTTGAGGTAAGTGGGATGAATCTGTGAAATGTGGTTTTGTCCACACAAAGGCTGCTGATCAAGAGCTGGGAGGGCAGTTGCTTAGTTGACACTATTGACAGAGCCTCAGTAGCTCTGCACTGCATCCTAATGCTTCACCTCCCCTGCCTTCAGAGGGATGATGATGTCATTCCTTACACTGCCAGCCAATGTCATGCGAGCAGGCAGGAGATGGAGATCTGCAACACAAATCAACATAAACTGCTGTATGTAACCATGTACCCACCCTCGATACACTAGAGGGGACTGTCAGGTCTTTTGACGGTCAGAGCAGGTTTCTGCCCCCGCCTTTGCCCTCAGCCGGTTCTACAGTGTTTTTTCTCTTTAACAACGGGAATACGGCAAAAGGTCACCTGGTTGCTAGGCAATAGGATGATTCTGGGCTGTTTAAATCAGAGATTTAAAGTAAGAAGCCCTTTTCAGGTATAAAATCTGTAACATAATTCATTCACAGTGTCAAACCTGTATGCAGCAGCACATTTCCTCTTTTAGAACAAAACCAGAAATGACTTGCGGTTTGAGTTGGTACAGGAAGGCGTTGCCCTCTTAACACAGAGTACATTGTTGCGCTTTTGTGTGTGGACTTCCTGTTTAGCAACTTTTATTCTTAAATTACCTCTGCACTGAAATAAAAGGAACAAAACTATGTTTATTTCTTTATTGGTTGCCTGATGGCTGGTTAATGGTTATTATTATTACACTTAAAACTCATGTAATATGTAACTCATAAATCTATGTAACTCAAGACAAAGGGGTTTAGATCAGTGTACTTTTTTTTTTTTTTTTTTGGTCATAGTTGATGTTTAGTTCAGTTAATTATTTTTCTTATTTTATGTTCTCACAGAGAAACAAATTCTCTGTGTCTCTTTGATCTCATTTATTAATTCTCGTTATTAATTGTTGTCAAAATAAAAAAAACCTGTCAAAAAAAATGTTTCTAGTAATAATATTCTCTTCCAGTGTGATCCAGATAATTACACTACCATTCAAAAGTTTGGGGTCAATAAAAAATTTTTTTTAGGAAGTTTGTTTTTATAGCAAGGACACATTAAATTGATCAAAATAACAGTAGAGTCATTTATAAGCACAACCATTTCAACTGAAAATAATAAGAAATGTTTCTTGAACAGCAAATCATCATATCAGAATGATTTCTGAAGGATAATACATTTGAAAATAAATTCCATTTCCAAATATCTTAAAATAGAAAACAGTTATTTTAAATTGTAATAATATTCCACAATATTACTGTTCTTACTGTATTTATGCAGCCTTGGTGAGCATAAGACTCTCCTTCAAATGCATAAAAAGTCTTACCCCAAACTTTTGAATGGTAGAGTATATTAAATGACATTTTTAAACATTTAAAAACATAGTTTTTGCACTGAAATACCGTGCTTTAGCTGTAAATTTATTCCAATCCATAAATATAGAGCGAATACTTCACTATACAAGAACCTGCAGATAAACAGCATAAAATATAATTCCATAGCCTGAGCTGTAAGCAGGAGCACATTAGAGGTCTGTGATCAGGAACGCGGATGTGCCGGAGTCCTGCTGTGAGTGACAGCCAAGCGTGGCACCTCACTGTGGGACGTCCACTGGGACGGAACGTGCTAACCAGACTGAGTTTTTGATGGATGTGGCTGGGCCGACACGCAGTGGAGGAAGACTGTAACAGTTAGTGGTAGATGAAGGTGGGGAACAGAACCTGACTGCACTCAAGACTCGAATAGCACTCAGCGTGACAGCAGAAGTTCTGCTCTGCTGACGTTCAGATTAGAGCAGCAGGAAGCCAGACCTTATCATGCCGCTCTTAATTGAATCCGAATAGTCCATATCCGAGCAGTTGAATATTTTGCAGTGTTCGTCGCATCCCCTCTGAGAGAGATGTGAATAAAGCACAGAGGATTCACTCTTAACCCAGTCTGCACTAAAAAAAAAAACCTTACAAATATACAGTACTGCGCAAAAGTCTTAAGCGGGGGACACACTTAACGACTGTAAGGCCGATTATGAATGTAATTTGATACTTACGACTGATCATGCCCAAGTGCGCCGAGTCAGAGACAGTTGCGTTCAGTCGGTGTTCACAGTCGGTGTTTAAAATCTGCTCCAGTCATTGGAAACAGTCTGTAAGTGTGTCCAGTTCAGTCTTAGAATGTTTCAGCTAGTCGTTAAGTGTGTCCCCGGCATTAGACACGGTAGTATTTCCCCCCCCCCCCCCAAAAATGGTTTTAAGCCAGTTAATTGTATCTTTTGCTGTAGTGTGTCAGTAGTAAATAGCAGTTTACAAACATTAATTTTGCCATTAATTGTAACAATCCAGTGATATTTTTGTATGTACAAGGAGTCTGAAAACAGCCGGTGCTCCACACGGAGATCTGATCTCACCATCAAGTCTGTCTGTGATTACATGAAGAAACAGAAAAAATTGAGACAAACTAAACCCAGAAGAACTGCGTCAACATTTCTAAGACGCTTGAAGAAACCTTCCTGCAAATGCAAATGATCGAATGCGTGTTTATTCTCAACAACTCGTAACACAACAAGTTTATTCTCAAAGTATAATGAGTTTATTCTCAGCAATTTATTTTACCTTTTTTTTTTTTTTTTTAAAGCTTGAGTTTATTCTCAAAATATACGTTTTTTTAACGTGATTTTTCTCAAAACACGACTTGATTCTTGAAACCTAAATTTAGTTTATTCTCAACATTGTATTTCGAGTTTTATAATCTCGCATTAAAATGACTTTAAAAGCGAGATGGTCTTTTTTATTATTATTATTACTTGGCCCTAATCCTCTTCTGTAGGAAACGTATCTTTTAGTAAAGCAAGATTCAGTGAGTTATGTTTGATGGTGATGAGGTGTCTGTGTTGAACGCTGCAGCAGCGGGAGTGAGGGTGGAACGTGCCGCTCTCATTCTCACCTCTTGCCAGATTGCAGCTCCTCCAGACTGCTAGAGCCTCCGCTGGGATCTTCCTTATCCATCTCCATCTTTGCTCTCTCCTAACTGCTGTGTGGGAGTCATACAAACGACATACCAGCTACAACAACTTCAGCAAACTGTTCATAACCAACCAAGTCCTTCTGAATCTTTAGGCGCAGGGAAGGAAAGAACACACATCTACACACACACACACACACACACACACACATATACATATGTGTTTGTATGTGTGCGCGTCTTCGTTGTTGGGACCAAATGTCACTTCCCGTAAAACCTGAATGTTTTTCGTTTTGAAAATGTAAAAATAATACAGAAAGGTTTCTGTGATGGGTAGGGTTAGGGGATAAAATATAGTTTGTTTAGTATACAAATTATTATGTCTATAAATGTCCCTGGCCCGGCGCCATAACGGGGCATGACCCCTAAGATCGGATTTGTGCCCCATCAGTTTCAATTTGTGCCCTCTCCCTCCTGGACTGCGATGGCCCCCTCATGATATTACTGTTTTACAGTATTTTTTAATAAAAAAAAAAAAACCAGCCTTGTTGAGCATGAAATTTCTTTCAAAAACATAAAAAAAATTACAGACTGCAAACTTCTGAACAGTAGTGTAAATGTGTGTATATGTGATGTGTGCGGACAATCTAATTTGCATGTAAGGGGAGCTGATCAGCATTTCATAAGGAGATCACACACCCCACGTTTTAACTCTCACTGTCGCAGACATGGACTAATCCTCTTGTCCAATCAGGATTATGTTATTACAGTGATTTTCAGAGCTAGATTTAGTCAATTACAGATAAGGAATTTTCATCTTTGTGATGTAGAAAAGGTTTTGAGAGGGTTTGATGCCGCTTCTGTTATATTGACATTGACATCACACGTCAGCACATGCAGAGAATCCACTTCAAGATGGAGAATCTCCAAGCCGAGGTCCAGTTCCACTAGATGGTAAAGCCTCTATAGTCTAGTCTAAAAATAGTATTAATGTTAAGGACACTAATAAACAGTCTGGCATTTGGCATCATGTGAATGGGCCACAAATCATCATTAATGTTGTTCATTGTATAAATCTCCGATTTCTCCTTCCTCCCTGGTCTCTTTCAGTATCCATTACAAAGCACTTAGGGCAGATTCAAGGGATAAATTGATAACGCAGCAGTTGCACTTTTGTAAGGAAGCTCTTTGCATTGAACTCATTTGAACTACAAGCAAAATGCGATCTGCAACATAAAAGGCTCGCATTTACAAATATGATATTGATTTCTGTTATATTTCTTTAAAAATGTGATTACAACCAGTGTTGGGTAAAGTTAGTTATAAAAGTAATTTTAACATTACAATATTGCGTTACTACCTGAAATGTAATTAGTTGCATTTGGTTACTTTTATGAAAAGTAATGTGTTGCATTACTTTTGCTACTTTTTCTCACCTGGGCTGGGCTTGCTTGTATGCTTTTTAATGACAAAAAAAGTTATATTTTGGCAAATGTAAAGGCCCTTACACACCAAAAGTGAAATGTATAAGTTTAAAGCTGCAGTAGGGAGTTTTGAGAAAACGTTGACTTAGCCTGAAAATTTGAACAATCACAACTTACAGGTCCCACCCCCTTGCTCTCTGCTGCGCTACAGCCCTCCCTCCACAGCCCGTCGTGAACGCGCAGGCTAGTAAACAGGGCCACCGATAACAGCGGATAAAAAGTTATATGGCACATTCACTAATAGGGACTAAACGTCAACAATATGCTTTACATTGACTATGGCCTGCCCATACTTTGACTACAAACTTGGTCCTCAAATCATTATGTATTTTGCAATACATGTAACTTTATAACGTTGCACTCTTTCTATAAGTTATAAATAGCTAGTAAGATAACGTTAATATAACGGTAACTAACGTTACAGTATGTAAGTAATTATTCTAGTGATATATAATGCTAGATAAGGTGTGCTAGTACATTATTTCAGCAACATGACAAGCCAGTGAATTAGCAGGTTTCAATTGTTGCTTAGCACAGTGCGTGACATTTTATCTACATGTTATGCGGCTAGAGTTTTGACACCGAGTCAATGGGCTCTGTCTAATTCTTTCTTTTTCGCTTGTTTATCGTCGTCAGTCTTTTTCCTTTTACCTCTTTGTTTTATGAGCAGGTGTCATTCGAGAATTGGCCGTTTAGGTTGTTTTTCCGCCATTAGCACAGCTGCAGCTCGCCGGCAATCTTGAGTTTGAACGACGGCTCGCGCTGTGCAAGAGAGGGGTGTGATCAGCGCGTACACGAGCGTGATTGACACTTCTAAGACATTCCTCCTGGCTCTGATTGGTTGTTTCTGACCGGGAGCGTGTATTTCTTGCAAATGGCAATAGGACCACTGGGAGGAGCCAGATGAGCTTGATTTTTACACAGATTATCTGTCTCATATTCTACTGTCAGGACATAATGGCAGTTTTAGCAAATACATTTTTTCAAAAGTTACCTACAGCAGCTTTAACGTTGAATGAAATGCAAATCCACGCCTGTACAGTAGAGGGTGCAGCTCAAACAAACCTTTCGGCTGTGCTGCCATTCTGAATTGCAAAAAATATATATGGTGCACCTTTCTCCTGATTTCATTCACCATGGGGACAGGAGAGGTGTCAGACTATAAATGGGAAAACTACGGTGGCCGAGAGAGCTCAACGCGCTGCAACTGAAGAAAACACACGCAAATAGAAAAACACCAGCAAATTAATAAAACATCTTCATCAGTTTCACAACACATATGTTTTCCAAATACTCACAACACAAACAAATACAGAAACGCGCTGCAAATAGCACAGACCACAACAGAATGTTTCCAGGTGACCCGAATAAGTGATGAACCCGGCTAGGACATGCTTTACAGCTCAAAGTCTACTTTTTTTTTTAACTTAAAACAATAAAAAAAATTCTGCAAAACATACATGATGTTTTATTAACAAGGTTCGGGAGGAGCAGGTGCAGATAAAAACAAAAAACCCAATTAGCGCAAGTGGAGTTCAATCTCTTATCAACTCAGAATAGGATAAATGACAGCAGAACCCACCGTTGTTCCTTTACAGTTTATCAGCATCCCACCTCCACCCCATCTCCTCACTTTAGTTCCATCTCCACCCGGACAGCACGCCAAGTACGCATAACCTTTACCGTAATAATTATATGTAGATGTGAACTCATGAAAGAGATGACATGTTTATGACATATAACTTTGTATACAATTTACAAAATGTATTTACAATATGTTCAATGTCATCAGAATACAAATGAGAAAAGAAGAGTTAACAATGAGCTGGGGAAAAAAAAACAAGATAGAGAAAAAGACCATGAGGGAAAGATATTAATCTATACTTCAGTTACAATGTACACATTTTGTCATGTTATGTTTAAATAAGTTTAATAAGAAATGTTATGTAATGCAGGGTCCAAAGATGAGAAGGCAAGTTTTAAAGTTGAGACACTCACACACAGATATATAACATATAAAATGTACATTTATTTGCAACAGTTTATGTTAACAGCAATAATAAGATATTTCTGGTAATAACAGCTCTTCAGCTGATGGACATGGTGCTGCGTTGTCATGGGAACATCCCAGGTGAAAATAATGAGGAAATTGCATTGTCTTTCGTTGCTCCCTTCACCAAGTGTGTTCCAAACGGCTACATAATGGCACACAAGTGCCCCGCTCACTCCTAAGTCCCCTCTTCAAGGGCTCTGCCCTTCGAAGGGAGTAGGGCATAGGGAAGCTCACAAGCAATAAGCACGTCCCAGCCGGGTTCGTCACTTGTTGGGCTCCCCTGGAAACGTTTCCGTTGTGGTCTGTGCTATTTGCAGCGCGTTTCAGTATTTGGTTGTGTTGTGAGTATTTGGAGCACACATGTGTTTATTAATTTGCTGGTGTTTTTCTTCAGTTGCAGCGCGTTGAGCTCTCTCGACCACCGTAGAAAACAAAGTCCTGGCATTACTTATTTGAAAAAGTAATAGTTTGTTGTAAATTTAAAAGAAATGTGTTACTTGGAAAAAGTCAACTGATTACGTAACTCTCGTTACCCCCCAACATTGATTATAACAATGCACAATTCCACTTAATTTCACTCTGGCTGATGTGTTTTTTTTTTACACAGGTGACCTTGATGTTTTGAAGAAGAAGAACTTCACCATGAAGGAGGGAGTGGACTACAGGGTGAAAATTCACTTTAAGGTAAAGTTGAACCCAAGCTTCTGCAGCCTCAGAGCATGTAGATATGAAATGCAAGGCTAGAAGTGGATAGATTGTTTATTTCCTGTCTTGATCAGGCCAGCACTATGAAGAACATACAGAAATACACACAGACACTCTTTCCCAGGCTAAAAATAACACACTTAAAATATCTGTAAACAGTTCGGGGTACAATGTAAGCAGAAAGTGGGTTTGTGATTATTTATTTTTTTGCTTCGCAATATGGGTGATGTTGAAATGTTTTTGTTTTGTTACAGTTTTTTTCAAGAAATTTTAATTAAAAGTGGCATCTAGAATCATTGAGTCATACCAGATCATGTTCCCGCAAAATACCGTTCTTCCCAAAATCCCTTTGTATCCAACAATATCCTTCTATCCCATGATTAATCAGGAAAGAAGTGCCTGATTAAGCTTGATACAGAAGATACTGTAAAATCTAGCTTTATAGTTCATGTCTAAATACACTAAAATAGACAGTGACTTAATTTCAGTGCAAATTCCAGGTATTCCCTGAAGTGAATTCCTAAATGTTCAAGGATCTAACAGGACCTCTGCTGGTGACTGTGAGAATGAAAATGATATGTTAAATTAATATTTATTCTAATTCATCCCATCTGTTCCCATTAGGTCAATAGGGACATTGTGTCTGGACTGAAATATGTGCATCTGACCTACAGGAAAGGACTCAGAGGTAAGAGCATCTGTATTCATGAATTTAAATGTTGGCCTTGCTTGGTGCTGGGAATGTGTTTAAGTCAAGGGTGTATGGATTTTTTAAACACACATGTACTGTTTTAATGTGAGTGATCTAAATACATATCTTGCATTCCCATTTTAATCTGATAAACACATTTCACTTATTTATATATGTTATGTTGTTGGCAAAATCTTGAGATGATTTAGTCCAAAAATGCTCAGATTTTCTGTGATAAGTCCACTTTGAGTTGATCTGATATTATATAAACAGGAAACTATCGATGATGTGTCAATCAGTGTTAATGTTTGTTAACAAAGCATTTAGAGATTTGTCAACAATAAAGAAAACTGTGTCATGACAATAATTAAAAGTTTTGAATTAAAAACCTGTTGATTAAATATGACAAGAAAAGAATAACAGCACAAAATATTAACTATATCAGTCATAGTCAATAATCTCGATGATTGACCCGCCTGTGTGACTCAATTCAATTTATTAATTCAAACATAACAATGGAAATAAATACAACTTTTTTTTATTAATAGGCATATTTAAAACGGTTTATTTAATTCATGTTTAAAAAGTATTAATAATTAAATAATTAAAAATTACTAAATCATAAAAAAAAAAAAAAAAAAAAAAAATTGACAAAAGTTTATTTGCTTTTTTTTGCGTCGTTTTGCCAAATGCTTTTCTCTATCCATTTGCCTGTCAGATTAAAAAATGCCATTGGCCAGTTTACTTGTGGGGGAAACCAATCAATCAGCTTTCGACCAGTCAGTGTGGATGAATCGCGCTTGTGTCGAAGACTCAGGGGTCATGATCTATTATTGAAGAAGAGAACTTGTGCGATGCAGAAACTCTTACAAAGCTAAAACAAACACTCGTTTTTGATCTATTAATGCATCTCTCTCTTACTGTATGCAATCTCACTGTTTTGAAGCGCCTGTAATAGGAAATAAACGTGTCATGAATAATTAAGCGAGGCGTCTTCTCATAGGATAAGGACACGCAGTCTCATGAATAATTATGGTATTTCTCGGTATCGGTATTTATCGACGGTACACCATTGTCGGTAACGATATAAAAAATGTTCGATATAGCGCTCGATGTTTTCATTAAAATGCGCATTGCACGTTGCCCAACATCAAATGGCAAACATAATGAAATTGCGCTACTCATTGTTTTGTGCTTCACGGACCGTTTATCAGTTTGGACCATCAATGTCTGTGCAGCGCGAGCCGATCTTGATCAAGCGACACTGTTACTACACAGCGCTAAGAGATCCAGTAAAGAAAGCAGTTGCATTTGCCACAGAAGTAATAACATCGCTGCGAGATCTATTGAGAAGCATTCAAATCTCTCCATTATTAACGGAGCAAACTGCACTGATGTGGAAACCAGGAGAAACATTGCCACGAATGAACTAGTTATACGCTGATTTCACGCAGCCACCATTTTGAAATCGAAAGCAAGGCTCCGGTGGGAAGAACCCCGGAAGTAAAGATAGACAACAATGCCTTGGACTACCAACCTGAAGCTGCTGCCGCGATTTACACTATTGGATGTTAATGTCCAATATAGGATATGTATATAGTTCGTTCCTGCTTCTTTTTTTTTCTTTCTGAATTATATATATAAAAAAATATATTTTATTTATAAATGAATTTCACTGTATATAGTCTAAAGTATGAAAGAAATGTATGTACAGTTTTAGAATAACTCATTTCTACATTAAACACAACAATACGCCATCGCATTCGCGACTCTCCGTTTTCGTTTTCTTCCCACCGGAGCCTCGCTTTTGATTTCAAAATAACGGCTGCGTGAAATCAGCGTATAAAGGGTTTAAGTCACAGATCAGCAGCATTCACCATGGATTTAATGTAGTAACACTAACTGTAACCATGGAAGTTTGGCAGGAATAGTAAAATGGTTTAAAGTATGTCACACATCTTTTTCCAGCACTTCAAGACTAAAATATTATCATATTTAAATGTTATTTTTAATGCGATGACCAAAACATTATTTGTTCGTCCTTCAAAGATTACCCCCATTTATAAAACTAAAACATTTACATTTACATTTAGTCATTTAGCAGACGCTTTTATCCAAAGCGACTGCTTTCAAGCGTCTGCTTAAAACTTTCAAGATGTAGGAAAACTCTCACTTACTTAAAAATATTTTTTCTTTTAATAAATCATTTTTCTTTTTAAATCAAGGAAATTTCTCTGGCATTTCTTTCTTTTTGCTGTATCGATAACGTACCGAACCGTGACACCACTGTTGTGTCAAATCGAACCGTGAATTTTGTGAACCGTTACAGCCTACTTATTACAGATGTTGTCGATCTACCTCAAAGTTTGCCTTGATTGTTCTAAGTTTACACTTTTACATCGCACATATTTTGTAACATTTTATTTAAGTTCAAGAGTTTCTTTAACACTTACTTTTTTACCTTAATATAGCCTAAGACATATAGAAGATATTTTTGTTTAGATTTAATTTTTATATTACATAATATAATTTGTTGCTTGCCTTAATAATGTGGATAAATAAAAAAAAAAAAAACAGTAGTTTAAATTCAAACTTTTCTACTTGTCTAAAAAAAAAAAGGTTAAGGTTAAAAATGTCAATAATTATCGATACCGAACGATATGACACATTATATCGTGATACATTTTTTAGCTATATCGCACAGCCCTACCATGAGTCATCGACGTACTATAGTGACGTTGACACAAAGACGAAATTAAACCCAGAAGTTGAAAATTAACTAGTTTTCTCCTACGATCAAAACTAATGGATGGTAACATTGACTTCTGTGATGTTCAACACACATAACTGTTAAAATCTCAGAAAATTTGGTTTAGGGTTTCATGGCCCTTTAAGAGCCACCCTCTCTCGTATGTGTATGGCAGCTTGTTTCCACCCTGGAATAAAAAATATAAAAGGTAATTGCAATTTTTTTTCTCAGAATTGTGAGGAAAAAACTCCAAATTGTGGGATATGAACTCCCTATTCTGAGAAACAAGTCAAAATAAAAAACAAGTTAGAAAGTTGCAATTACCTTTTTTTATTGCGAGTTTATATCTCACAATTCTAAGAAAAAAGTCAGAATTGCACGTTATAAACTCGGAATTGTGAAAAAATACATTCAGTCTTTTTTCTCAGAATTGTTAGAGATAAACTTGCAATTGCGAGTTATAAAGTCAGGATTGCGAGATATAAATTCAAACCTCTGAGAAAACAGTCAGAATTGTGAGATAAAAAGTCGCAATTTCCCTTTTTATTTTTTTATTACATGGCGGAAACCAGCTTCCATATATATGTGGCTCTCAAAATTGATGTAAGATGGACTGTCATGCTATTTTGCAATTAGATTTCAAATGAATAAATATGCCACAAAATGTTTACTAAATTTAAAAGATATTTTCATTTTTACCTGTAGTGGATAAGGCAGTGTACATGGTGGGCAGCTACGGTCCGAGAGCCGAGGAGCATGAGTTTATGACCCCGGTGGAGGAGGCTCCGAAGGGCATGATCGTTCGGGGAAGCTACCACATCAAATCCTACTTCACAGATGACGACAAGACAGACCATCTGTCGTGGGAGTGGAACCTGCAAATCAAAAAAGACTGGGACAGTGGAGAGTAAAGCGGTTATCCCTCTGCCTCTCTCTCTCTCCCAGATGCACAGCAAAATACCCAATTTATGACTAATGTTTAAAACAGAGGGCTAGTCTAGGTAGATATGCAGCTGGAGTTGACTTTGCAAATGGTTAAATAACAATTAGTCATATAACAAAAACCTTAAAATAATGAAGACATTCTTACATATTAAGTGTAATCAACGGTGAGGACAAACAGTGACTGGCAGGGTATTAGAGGCGACTTAGTACTTTGTAATAGATATAACAACGGTATAATCAACAAATGGAATTCCTCATGCCTGTACTCTCAGGTTAGTGTAAACTGTAAATGTAAATATTACAATGTCTGTATTCTTGAAATGCATTTAGAGTTCTTTACTGAGCCCATGACCAGATCAGTGCATGCTTGGATGTGAAGCCATCGTGTCTGCTATGGCTAATGTCTTGTATTGATGATGTAATCAGCCTGCTGTTAACTGATAAATACATGTGTAGGAAGTGGTTTGTACTAAGTGTTGCTTGTCCAAAAGGTATTTCTGAGCATTAAACCCTTGCAAAAAAGACCAACTTAGACCAGTATGAAGTTGTTCGCCAGCAAAACTTAGCTGGTCAAACAGCATTTCTGGTGAAGCTGGTTCACTTGTCTTACTGGTTAGTCTAGTTAAGAAGCCCGATTGGCACACCAGGCTAAACATTTGCTGGTCTTTTTAGCTGGGAACCCACCATCACTGGAGCCCATAGTCAAGCACCCTCCCCATTCCCTGAAATGGTTCAAAATCTGTTCATCTCTGTCCAGGTGTCTGTAACCGTCCTCCATCTAGCTTTGATATTAGATTGTCTATGTTTTTTTGTTTTTTTTGTTGACATTCCAAAATAAATACATTTTATTGTTTATATGCCTGCTGATACTGTTACCTTACACTTCCATCTCCATCTCTGATGTTATTATCTGACATGTGCAAATCTTGATTTCTCTTAAACAATTATCTACTGCGCTATCATATTCAGATATATCGCAGAATATTCAGAAATACTCTGCGGAAATGATCAGAATAAGATTTCTTGAAGAAAGGTAACAAATGCCACAGGAAATGTATAACTTGCATGTGCATTATGTAATGCCTTTATGAGGGAGACGAATGCTAAATCATCATTAACTGGGAGCTAGTTAGCAATAGGAAGACATAAATAAGAGAGCGCACAAAAGATTAGCGGAGGTTTTTTTGTGAATTGACATTTTTGATAACCGTGTGACTCTACAGTCAAAATATGACTATAAGATATATTTGATCAAATGGAAATCCTCAACATTTTTCAAAATATACACACATGATGTATATTTTCTCAAATTCATATTGTGACTGTTAATGCAATTGTCCTCACAATTGGATGTTATCATTAGTCTACTTGTAGTCTGTATTGCATGATGCTCCATTTTTTATAAACATGTTAATTAGGGGGTTAATTGTGATGTAAAGTCGGCTGCAGTAAGATGTAATGTGAGATTTAGTCAGGGCATTTTTTCAGCTGACTGATTCATTTGCTAAAAATAGATTATTTTGCTTCTGAATTGTCATACGTTTTCATCTTGTATTTTGTAATAAAGTTTGGCTTGTCCTTATTTGTAATCTTGTTTCAAATGTTTTAGTTTAGTATACTAGTATGATTAGGCACATCAAGTCAGTTTATCAAATGAACAACACGTGCATGTAGCAGTAATGGCTGGCAATGAACAGTTGCTTCATGTTGCAGCAAAAAAAACAGAAATAAAAGAATTACGAGAAAAAGTCATTATTTGTTCACTAACAGATGATAAAAACGAATCTCAGTAGAAAAAGACACGCATCTCTCACTTGAGTATGCCACAACATGTACCGCCTTCCAAAATTGACCAATCATAGTAAAGTACATTAAGTACGTCTTTGCTGATTGGCGCTCTGTTCACCAGCCACACATACTGTTAGTGTTGCCATGTCCGCCTGGTAAAACGTCTTTCAGCTTGTTTTTCATGAAGTCGCTAACAAATATATGGCCCGTTGTAGGTTGCTGTAAAAATAAATGGTTTTAAATCGATAAACCTATTAAAAATAAAATTTCTTCGCAGAAAGATGCAAATATGTTATTTTGCGGAAAGGTACTTATTTTAAGAATGTTTATCAGTACAGCTTAGCGTTACCTGGTTTTTAAGTGAGATCTGGCAACACGTGTACGCAAACGGGAAAGTTTTTAGCAATTTAGCATTATCTCTTTAGCTGGCGAGATGTCATCGGTATTAAGACACTGTACCAAATTCAGCCCCTCTGGTATGTGTGTGTTTTGCCTCATCTGAAACTTTATTGTGGAGTGACCATGTTTTATTTTGAATGAAATATGCAGTAGCAATGCATTAAGGAATTAGGACGAAGGTCAGCGGACCACAAAAGAGTTGTCAACGCCTTCTTGTAGTTTTCATGTAATCATTAGTTCTTTAATTAATCTATATGTTTTAGAAAGCAGAACTCATCAACATATAATGATACATATCATGTCAGTTGTTGTTTTGGTGTTAACGTTTTACTTTTCACAACTTTAATAAGGGCACGCCACAGCTTATTGACACTGGGAAATACAACACTGCTCGCGTATAGTACAGTGCATGTTTATAGAGGTGTAACGTTAACCAATAATCAAATAAATGCACTGCGAAAATACCTTGGCTTTTAGTTTTACATATGGAAAATAATATATCTCTTGCAGGGTTTGTATCACTGCTGTCTGGAAACTGTAGTCATGGGAGAACCTGTGCTCTGCAATACTTATCTTCAAACAAATATTCATCATCCTCAAAAATTAAAGTGGACCTGGATAGTAGTAATGGTAAGAATCTTAATACATAATGTGTATTAATAATAGGTTTACTGCATTGCAACTACACATTTATCAAAAAGTCATTATCAGAATATCTTATTCCTGTTATAATAATTTAATATTCTCACAGGTGTTGCTATAATGCAGTTCCAAAATCCTCCGGTCAACAGTCTCAGTCTTGACTTTTTGACTGAGTTTGCTATTAATTTAGAAAAACTTGAACTGGACAGAGGCTGCAGAGGTGTGATCATAACATCTGTAAGTCATCAGAAACATCTGCTTTAGTGGAATCCAGTTTGGTTTATATGTCTGTTCATTTTATTGACAGTGCTATTTTTGCTATAGGCCCAGCCGAAGGTGTTTTCTGCAGGCCTGGATATTTTGGAAATGTATCAGAAGAGCCCAGAGCACTGCGCAGAATTTTGGAAGGCTGTACAGGACGCGTGGCTTAAGCTTTATGGGTCCACCAAGGTCACAATCGCTGCAATCAATGTGAGTGCCACTATATACTCTTCTGTTTTCTGATACCTGGCTGGTTTAGGTAAAGTACTTGTATATGGTCCAGTTTTTAGTTGTTGAATGTACATTAATAATTGTTCTGTTTTTAGGGCTCCAGTCCTGCAGGTGGCTGTTTGTTAGCTTTGTGTTGTGACTACAGGATCATGGCCAATAACCCTCGCTATAACATTGGTCTCAATGAAACACAACTTGGTATAGTTGCACCTTTTTGGTAAGTGCTATTGCTGTGAATTTCACAATACATGGACTTTGGAACCACTAGCTAGTAGCTACATTTGCCCAAATAAACGGTTTGTATTGGGATTGATGGCTTCATCGGATTGAAAAGCCTTCATGTAAACACCTCAATCGAAACGACTGAGATTGTTCCACATGAATTTCGATCGGATTGAAGGGAAAATAAATAATCCGATCAATAGGGAAAAAAAATACGCATGTAAATGCTTGAATCCAACTATAATCTCAGTCATATTAAAACATATCACAGTACCGTGATGCGTATGTTTACATGAGCCCTTTTATAATAAGATCTGTTTAGATGCGTTTGACTTCTTATGAATGTGCATGTTTATTTACATCTTACAAAGTGGTCAGTGGAGGAGACTGAGTATGTAGGGGGAAAAAAAGCTTTTCTGACATATTTGTCAGCTTTAGGCGTGTCATCAAGAAAAATGACAGTTATTCTCACGATAGCTCTGGTGACATTATCACGGTGGCTTTCTCTGGTTCTAAATGCACTGACTGGACACTGCGCATGTGCTGAAGTTTGTAAATGATTGTATGTGTAAACGATTATGTGAATCTGATGGCAAAGTTTAGGTTTCATATAAACAGATCTTTCTGAATCTGAAATCGGATTGGATTCATTCAAAGTGACAAAAATGAGTGCCTGTAAAACAGGATGGTACTAAATGGAGATTTTGTAAACCAGGTTTAAGGACACCATGGCAAACGTTGTGGGCCATAGAGAAACCGAGAAGGGTCTTCAGCTCGGTTTACTGTACAATACTCCTGAAGCCCTGAAGGTCGGTCTGGTGGATGAGCTTGTTCCTGAAGATAAAGTTCTCAGCGCAGCTACTGAGACCATGACTAAATGGTTGGCCATCCCAGGTAAATAGTAATAGTTTGCTCCCAAATACAATATTTCTGCCTGGTATTGTTAGTACATTTTGTTAATGTACACTGTTTTTTGCCCACAGATCATGCCCGTCAGATAAGTAAGTCTATGATGAGAAAGCCCACTATAGACAAACTTCTTGGGAACAGAGACGCCGACACCACAAACTTCGTCAGTTTCATCACCAAAGACTCCATCCAGAAATCTCTTGGGATGTACATGGAGATGCTGAAGAAGAAGAGGTCTTGAGGACCTGAACACGTGCCTGTTGTTGTTGACATTGTCTTTATGTAGCGTGCATCAATGTCACTGTATATCACATTGTCCTCTCTTTTGTTACTAGAGGATAAATTTGTTTGTAAATAAAATCGTATAAAACTAAAATGGGGTCTCATTAGCATGTGAGTAGTGACATATAACTTGTTTATTTAACTTTTTTTTTTATTCAACATCAAGGTTTTAGATTAAAGTTTTGCATACGTGTATGTCAGGTCAAGTAACTGGTTGCCTTTTATTTTAAAGTCTGCATGAAGCGGAAGTTGCGAAAGTCTTTTCTTCCCTATTTTGACGAAACGGCTTCTCGATCAAGAAAAAAAATGCAGGGCTGAACTTTTTTTTTGTCCAATAGGAATTAATTGGATGGCTGTGGTTTGCTATTGCTGTGATGTCATGTGAGTGACAGGTTGTCCTGTCCTCACACCAGTAACACGTCTTCAGAGAGGAGAAGAGATGACGTTCCAAGTGAGAGAAATTATTTTGTAATATTAAATATTACAAATGCACATGAATTTAAAAAAAAACTGTGCACGCATAAACCGTTAATAATAAACACTACAATATTCCATAAAAAAATAAGAATGGTCAATTTTGATTGCATAATGTATTTCTCTTTTTTGAGTGGATTTTTAATCAACCTTTGCCTTCACTAGTTCATTTTAAATGGTATTGCAGCTAAATTAGTTTTTTACAAATGCAAATACAAATAGTCATAATTTATAAAGCAACTTCACATTCACTTATGCATTTCTTATAGCTATAGAATGATATTGGACAAACATTCGTTGAAGCAAATGATTTCTTTTTATTCTCACCAAGTGTTACAAGCAGTGTGTATCTGCTGTGAGGGAACAACCTTGATCTTTTTTCACATGAGCTTGACCTCAACTGGAAAGTGATCGCTCACTGCCAGGGCCTGTGATAGAGACATGAGCACTTCAGACAGATGAATACACTCAGCAATAACTCAGTCTCTAGAGATCCTTAGGTTTCAAATTTAAACAGTTGTGCTGCTTAACAATAATCCCAATGGGGCAAAACCTGTCCTCACCCAGCTCTGGCTCAATCCATGGGTTTCCATGAAGTCAAAGACCTGTGCTGAACCAGGGGACACTCCTTTCATCATGTCAGAG